AGGACCCCAAACATTAGTATGAACCAATTGAAAATAAGAAGATGAAATAGAACTACTTTTATTAAATGGAAGAGCAGACATTTTAGCTAGTTTACAACCACGACACTCAGAAATATCATCAATGGTAAAATTGCGTAAATGTCCAAACCGAACTAATACCCTTAAACGATCACTTGACAGATGACCTAACCTAGAATGCCAAATATAAAATAAAGAAGACTTATTGTTTAAAAAAAACAGAAGACAATGCAGTAGAAAACATGCAACCTGTCCAAGATATATAGTTCTCCAACTCTACGCTTGATCCCAATCTGCCTCTTGGATACCCGATCCTGCACAACACAATGAGAAGAAAAGAAAACAACATCAAAACCAGAATCAGATAATTGACTAATAGAAATAAGACTGAGTGAGAGGTGAGGCACATAAAATACTGGAAAAGAGACAAATGGAAAGAGGAAATAGAACGAATAGAGTGTACAGGCATAGAAGAACCATTAGTTGTAGCAATAGTGATAGAAGAAAAAGAGGAGACACAATTACTGAGGAGAGATGCAACAGGGGTCATATGATGTGAACAACCAAAATCAAAAATCCATGAAGTGTGGATATTACCTGAAGAGGATGACCAGATAAACCTGACCGAGTTGTAGTCATAGCAGACGCCTGGGATGAAAGATTTGGATTAGCCACCATGAAAGACTTGAATTGCTCAAACATAGACTGCATATTGGAAGATGGACCATTCTGAGAAACTGGTATAGAAAAGGCGGCAGATGAGCGAGATCCCAAAGATGTCGGCTTAGAAAATGGTGGACCAAATGAACGACCCTTAGGCTGCAAAAGTTTAGGACAAGCATGTTTCCAATGGCCTTTTCTGATGACAGAAGTTGCACTCATCCATGGAAACCCAAGGCTTGGGTTTACCAGTAACCTGAAATAAAGGAGAAGGTGGGGTGGGCAAGAGCGGAGAAGTGGCAAAAACTGACTGGGAAGCAAGAGCACCATGAGCCACCTTAAACCAAGTTTCTTCCGCAATAAGCTCACGAACAACACCATCCACAGAAGGCAAGGGAGACCGATGAAGAATAGCTCCCCGAAGTGGCTCAAGTTGATCATGAAGGGCCATAAGAAATTGAACAAGATGTTGCTTCTCCTGATACTTGATATAACTGTCAAGTAACTGCAAATCTGACGGTTCCATCAAAGCAAGCTGATCCCAATAAGTATTCATCTCATTGTAGAACTCCTGAATTGACTTATCTTTCTAACTAGCACTGCGAATAAACATCTCAAGTTCATACTGTTTTGCAAAGTTAAACTCAAGGTACATAGTTTTCAAATAGTCCCAAACTTGTTTAGAAGTAGAATACTTGGAAAAATTCATTCCAATGGTAGTTTGAACTGAATTATGAAACCAAGTAAGAATTTGTGCATTTTCCTTCTCCCATTTAGCAACATCGGCCTCAGTTTCTTGAGATTCCGTAGGTCTAATAGTCACACCAATCACATAGTTCCACATGCCTTTACCCATTATGAAATTTTTCATTACATGAGACCAATAAGAATAATTGGTACCATCTAACTTAGTGGTAATAGCTTGCAATTTGTCATCAGCCATAGTGCTATAATTAAGCAACACAATAAAACTAAAGCAGAGTGACTAACGAAAGTTGCTATTGCTATAATTATAGAATCAATTAGGTCAAACTTATAATAACCTTATCACCACAAATATCAATCAGAGAGAACCAAGGCACAACACAGAGAGATAGAGAGAGAGAGTGAACCTAAAACCAGAAGTCGATACTTTGATCGTGTGAACTAGAGGAAGAGACAGAGAGATCACCAATCTGAGTCACACAGAGGAATTAGAGAGCTTTGATCGAACCAGATGAGGGGTCGAAACAAGTTGAAGAGCACTCGGTTGTGTGAGACATGCAACCTAGGGCTCCGATACAACCTAGAGACCAGAACCAGCAACCAAGAAGAGTGTAGTGCTTTGAAGTGCAACGAAGAGAACAGTGAACACAGAGAACCCCAACGAAGGCCTTACAAAGAGAGAAAGGGGCTACGATGGTTGATGATGGCCTGCGAAAGGTATGCTAACATTTGGGTCGTGGCTCTGATACCATGATAACAAACTTGTGTATTGATTTATTGAATGATCAATCAAATGAGTACAAATATATAATCTAATAGAATCAAACCCTAACAACCTAAAGGACTAAACTATCCTTAATGAATAATATAAACTATAATAATTCACAGTGGACACACTGGGGGAATCTTCCATGGATACTCTACTACCTAATCCTCAACAAAACTAGTGCCAATCACAAACCTGGAAGATGGTGGAGGAATAGTAAGCACTATGATCACTAAAAAATCATACAAAAATTAAGAACTCCTTTTTTTTTCCCTTTTAGGTTGAAAACATTACGCCAGAGAGAAACTGGGTAGAAGCTAGGGGAAAATAAAATAGACACTGCTAGACTATATACAAAATAAAAATAAAACTTGTTAGATAAACCAATCAATACTTAGCCAGGACCAAAGCTCTCCACCACCTTAGCAAGAGTCGACAGGCATCAGGGAAGCTGCAACTGAAGCCGAAACCGACAGAGGAGATATTGGTTGGGCAAAAGAGCTGCCAATTGGTCTTGGGAGGCTTTCGACAGTAGTCAACTAGGCCTGGGTGGCCTTCGGCAGTAGTCGACCAGGCCTGGGTGGCCTTTGGCTGCTGTCGTGGCCCCTAAACTGGATGGGTGGTTGTGTGGTGACTGCGTGGTGATATATGGGTTTAGGTTTGTGGCTTTGATACCAAGAAAAATATTTTAGAGAAGAGAAAGTGATAGGGATTAAGAGAGACCTCATCGCCTTTTATATTAAGAATAAATCATAATTACAGGAGTGCCATAAGGCATGAATTATGGGCCAGCTCATTACAACCCATTTAGAATAAAATATGTGAATATAATTTCCTATTCTAACATTATGCTTATTATGGTTTTTTGAATCTTTAATTTATTTCAATTCCTTAACTGAAGGGATTTGATTGTATCTTCCATTTCTATATATATGGTGTATCACGTATGCAAGAGTATCAAGTTGAGTGAATGAAAGATGTAGCCCTTTAGGGCTTTATGTGTGTGGATGTAGGCCAATATTGGCCCAACCAGGTTAAACCTTTGTGTTCTTACTTTTCTCTTTTCTGTCTCTATTATCTCTCTATATTCAATCTTATTGCCTTATTATAAAATTCAACTTGGTATTAGAGCTTACTGAACCCTAGGCATGTTTCTTTATAGAGAACTCTCTCACTCCACATTTTTTGTTATCAAAGTGTTTTTCCCTCTTCCTTGAGTTGACCACTAGTTTGTTGATGTGGTAAGCAAACTTCATGATTTTTACTTATGCCAGTGGGTTCGGTAGCATTATTTTGTGATACGCCGAGTTTTCTAGCTACTTCTTTACCCTTTTAGGGTCCCTATGCTGATATGGTAAGTACATATTTGGTTCTTTTTTATTTTTGGGCTACTATTGTGTTCGGTAGTATTCTTTGTGGGATGCCGTTTTTCGGCCTTTTTGTTTGTGGTGATTTGCTGTTACTTTGGCGTTGTTGCTTTCTCTCTCTCGGTTGATTTCTCTTATTGCCATCATAATGGATTCAATGCACGCTTCTCTGTTCCAAGATGTTGATTCCTTGCTATGTTCATTGAAGGGAGTTATTACAATTGTTGTTGTCTTTCGGCAACTTCATTGTAGTTGTTTGTAATGATCGTACTATTTTCAAATTCAATTTGGATACTTTACTTCAACCTTTCTGTATTCCAACTTGAGTGGGAGTGTTGGAGATAAGATTATATTGTCAAGGATATCAGAAGATATGGAAGATATTAGAATATATAGAGATCCATGATTTGTGCTTATTATGGTTTTTTGTATCTTTGATTTATTTCAATTTCTTAACTAAATGGATTTGATTGTAACTCCCACTCTATATATACGGTGTATCATGTAAATAAGAGTATCAAGTTGAGTGAATACCTCTTTAGGGCTTTGTGTGTGTGGATGTAAGTCAATATTGGCCGAACCACGTTAAACCTTTTTGTTCTTACTTTAGTTTTTTTTGCCTCTATTATCTCTTTATATTTAACCTTATTGCCTTATTACAAAATTCAACTCTTTAGAGATTTTATCATGAAAGAAAGGGAATCCAACTCTATTCAGGAGAACAACCATGCTAATGTAAGCCTACTGTGTCACAGTCATACCCAAGTTCGAAGAAATGATACCACAGTAAGCATTCTACATATATCAAGAACTATATATTTGTGCATTAAAGATTTATGAGGCTGGATAACATTCTTAGGGAAAACCCCACTGCACCCCCAAATAAGGCTTAGATCAATCCCCAAAGATCTCTAGCCACAAGAAAATGAATGAGAAGGTGGTTAACTGATTTCCCATCTTGCTTACACGTGCAACACCAAGTTAGCACTATGTGCCATCGATGAATCAATTATCAATGGTGAGAATCCTTCCATAGGCTTCTGTCCACTCAAAACATCCCACCTTAGATGGAGCTTTAGGGGGCCAAATCTTGATCCATGAGGAAGATGAATTACCCGTGTAAAAGGATTTCACATAGAAGTTATCGATTGAAGACTCCACTCGATGGCATTTACCACCATATATATGTGTATATATATTTCGAAGTACGTGAGGTCCCTTCCTATTTGTGCCCACACAATTTGGTAATAAAACAATTAAAAGGGCCTCAATACTGACTTCTTGAGGAAGCTGACTTGGTAGTAAATCTTTGCTTGTCTCCTCTTCATATTATCATAGCTTCATCCTAAATCTTCTTTTCAATTTTAACATCCCGGGGAGCTATTGCCAGAAATCAATATTTGATCTTGTTCCATGAACAAGCCATGTTCTGTAGGAATCAGAATTGAATCTAATATTGGTACTTACCACACTTATTTTTCCAGGTCAAAGCTACTGCAGAAAACGTTGATGAGGCTGTTCGAGAACTTCCTGATGCCAACTTGGTAAGGTACTCCTTTTGCTCTGTGTTTGGACTGACAGCTGATGTCTATAACACCATGGCTCCCTTTTTCCTAACTTTTGCCGTTTCTCTTTAGAGATAGTCATGGTCTTCTTACCAGGTTGACAACAATGTTACATAAAGATGTTACAAGTACATAAATATTGCATTTACATAAGGCTTTTTTTTTCATCATTTTGTTATTGAATACAATTGTCACAAATAATTTTCAGTATGCTTCTTTGACATATTTAAAAGAATTTAACAAATTTTAGATTTTTCATGCAACTACTGACAACTGTTTATGGATTATGATGTGCCAAATTGACACCATCTACATTCTTTAAATTTATTTTTCTGATGGCTAGAGGGTTTTTTAACGCTTTATTCCCTTGATAGTCTTCTAAGGTATTCTGTCATGTAGGATGAGTCTTGCTATTATTTTAACAAGTATGTTGAATTATGGTTGATGTGACCTTTATATTGTGCCACTTTCAGAGACCAGAAGCTTTGTGGGCTATTCATTCTCGACCGGTCTACCCAAGGCCTCATAAAAGGGATAGTGCTTCATGGGCAGCCATACAAAAGGTACAATTTTGAAGTTGACATCCATTGTATCATATTTCGATCTACTAGATATTGAACTCCTCTAATATGGCTAAACAAAAGAATTTTTAAGAAGGCCTTCCGGAATTTAAGTTGAATGGAGTACATTAGGCTTTGTTTGGATTTTGTACTAGGCTTACATCAATGTTTTTATTACTTCATGAAAGTATTTGATCAGCTAAATTTTATTTGTTTGAATAGTATGGTTGATATTTGTTACTTTATTTGGAGAATTACTTTTCAGGTTGATCTTGCTTCTAAGAATGTTATGACAGTAGTTTATATGAAAATGACAGTATTTCCATATCATTGTCTATGTAATGTAGAACCAAAACAAGGAAGAACTTGGGGATCTCAATCCTTGACAAATATTCTCAATAAGTAATTTTCATCAAAGTCTAGTTTAAACCATTTCATAAAAGCCATATATATATATATATATATATGCATAAGCACTATCTAGTTAGGCTACATGTCTTACTGTCTTTTGACAGATGCTTGCATTACTAGAAGGTTTGAGTATTATAATCATAGCATCTGATGAGAGGAGTGGTTTTAAAGTATTTTGGATCTATAAGATCAATGGTTGCATTTTTTATTATTATCTGAAATGTCCAAATTTGTTGTTCATTTATTAAGGTATGCATAATTATGCTACTTACAATTGTCTCCTCCTCTAGTAGCTATATTTAATTTTCTTTGAGTTTGTAGATCACTGCAACTGGTGAAAAAATTGGGCTAAATCATTTCAATCCTATCAGACCTCTGGGTTGTGGAGATACAGGCAGGTAATGAATTTGACACTTTTATAGCTTGCAATTGGCATTATATGGTGACATTCCTGTCAGTCTAAACTTTGATACATTATTTTTACTGTAGTAGCTCATAACCTTTCCTGAAGTGACATTTAAAATTTTGTTTTTTAAATCCCTGATAGTGAGATTTACTCTTTTTTTTTGAATTTATGTAATAGTAAGAGAAGCCCTTTTATCGCACTCTTGTATTTATATTTATACTAGGGGAATGCAAGGAGCTACATTGGCACATTCTTATAAGGGGATTCCCTTTTCTTTTTCCTTTCTTTTAATCTTTAGAGCTAGACAATTGTGTAACATGTAATTTAGTAGCTTTTATTTTTCTTTCATCATGTACTTGGCGAACTTCTTGTCTGCCTTGTTCTCTTTTGTATCTCTATCTTATTTTATTTTTTAATAAAATTTTCTTTGTTGCTATTTAAAGACAAAAAACAAAATAACAAAAGGGTGATTACTAGATTTGATTGGACCCTGGATGTGTTTATTTGAGAGAAAACTAACTTAGAGAATGATTAGACAATCACCCCCTATTATATTGATAATAGGTAGCTTACAATGGAAACCTGGGAGGCACAAATAAGGAAATAACAGCTAATAGAATAAGAAAGTCCTAAGGCACTAATTAAGGAATCAAAATACAATCTAGATAATGAAACAAATAATAGAATGATCCTAGCATATATTCTAACACTCCCCTCAAGCTGGTGCAAAGATATCTCTCATGCTCAGTTTGCCAAGAATATCATGAAATGGTTTACTGCCAACTCCCTTGGTGAGAATATTTGCAAGTTGTTCACCAAACTTCACAAATGAAGTACATATTGTGCCACTAGTGAGCTTCTCTTTGATGAAGTGACAATCAATTTCAACATGCTTTGTCCAGTCATGTTGAACAGGATTGTGAGCTATGTTGATGGCAACCTTATTATCACAATATAGCTGCATGGAGTCTTTTTGGTCAATTCCCAAATCATGCAATAACTACTTGATCCACAAGAGCTCACACGCAACTTGTGCCATAGCTCTAAACTCAGCTTCTGCACTAGATCTGGCAATCACATTCTATTTCTTACTCCTCCAAGTAACCAAATTGCCTCCAACAAAAGTACAATACCTTGAAGTGGACCTCATATCAGTTACTGATCCTACCCAATCAGCATCCATATAAGCTTCCACACTAAGATAATCATGTTTAGAAAAATAAAGACCTTTTCCAGGAGAAGATTTCAATTATTTCAAAATTCTCATAACTGTTGCCAAGTGTATTTCATGAGGAGCATGCATAAACTGGCTAACCACACTAACAGCAATAGCAATATCAGGACGTGAACGGGCTAAGTAAATAAGCTTACTAACTAGTCTCTGATAACTCCCCCTATCAATGGCTGCTCCCCCACTGTCATCACAAAGTTTCTTATTAGGTTCCAGTGGTGTGTCATAGGCTTTACTTCCAAGCATCCATGTTTCCTTCAACAAGTCAATGACATATTTTCTCTAACAGATGAAAATCCCATCTTTGGACCTAGCCACTTCAATCCCCAGATAGTGCTTCAAGTTCCCTAAGTCTTTGATTTCAAACTCACTGGCCAAATACTTCTTTAACAAAGGGATTTCCTCAACATCATCTCCTGTAAGTACTATGTCATCCACATATACAATGAGAGCTATAGTCATACCATGAGAGGAATGTTTAACAAACAGAGTATGATCGCCTAACTCTATTTGAAGCCATATTTTAGAATCGCCTGAATGAATCTCTCAAACCAAGCCCTAGGGGACTGTTTGAGACCATATAATGACTTTCGAAGTCGACACACCTTACCCTTAGTTTGAAGAGTTTCAAAGCCAGGAGGAATGTCCATATATACCTCCTCTTCTAGGTCACCATGTAGGAAAACATTTTTCACATCAAACTAATGAAGTGGCCAGTCCAGATTAGCTGCCAGAGAAAGAAGTATTCTAGCTGAATTCATCTTTACAACAGGAGCAAATGTCTCTTGGTAGTCCACTCCATAGGTCTGAGTGAAACCCTTTGCCACAAGTCGAGCCTTATACCGCTTAATTGAACCATCTGCCTTGTGCTTCACAGTATACACTCATTTGCATCCCACAGTTCGTTTGCCCCTAGGTAACTCAGTCAAATCCCAAGTGCCATTCTTATGAAGTGCTTTTATTTCTTCCACCGTGGCCAGTTTCCACTCAGGAATGGTAAGAGTATCCTGAAAATGACTAGGTATGCTAACAGAGGAAATTTTTGACACAAAGGCTTTATATGAAGAGGACAAATGCGAATAAGACACAAAGTTAGAAATAGAATGATGAGTACAAGATCTCACACCTTTTCTTTTAGCAATAGGGATATCAAGATCAGTAGGCTCAGACTCAGAGGTAGTAATATCAGTAGTTTCAGGGTTACCTAGACCTTCATCAAGAGAAGGAGACGACAGTGATTAATCAGAAATGGTCTCTTGTATCCAAGTAACTTTCTGTCTTTCTTTATCCCTGATATAAACTTGCCCTTCTCTGTTCTTGGCAACATCGAATTCTGCATTGCTAGTAGTAGATATCACTGGAGGTAGTACTAGGCCAGGAACAATAGGAGCAATAACAGGTACCACTAGTGGCAGTATTAGGTCAGAAATAACAGAACCAACAGGACTCTCTTCACTTCATGACTCTCCCTGAAGAGATGACTGGGACACTGGACAGGACAAGAAGTAGGATTGAGACTCAAAGGTAACATCCATGGATACAAACTATTTACGAAAGGAAGGGTAATAACACTTGTACCTCTTTTGAATAGGAGAGTAACCTAAGAACACACACTTGAGGGAACAAGGATCTAACTTACCCTGAGAAGGAGAATGATTGTGAACAAAACACACACAGCCAAAGGTTGTTTGAGGAATGAAAAACAGAGGCTCAGAACCTAAAAGAACTTGAAGAGGTGCCCTTTTTTGTAAGACTTGTGTAGGAAGACAGTTAATGAGATATGTAGAAGTGAGAACAGCCTCAGCCCAATAAGCCTAAGGTACACCTATAGAAAAACAGATATAGTGGGTTATATCAAGGAGATGACAATTCTTGCACTCGGTAACCCCATTCTATTAAGGGGTGTCAATGCAAAATGTTTGATAGATAATGCCATGAGTAAAAAAATATTTTGCCAATCCAGAATCAACGTACTCACCCCCATTATCAGAACGCACTATTTTGACAACCGCCCCAAATTGGGCACTAACCATCTTATGAAAGTTTTGAAACACAGAAAAAACATCACTTTTTTCTTTCATGAGGTACACCCAAGTAGCATGAGAGCAATCATCTATAAAAGTAACAAACCATCGATGACCTTTCATTGACATCACATGAGAGGGACCCCAAACATCTGAATGAATTAAAGAAAAAAAAGAACTGAACTTTTATTATTACTGGAAGTAAAAGAGGCTCGATGTTGTTTGCCAAGTTGGCATGACTCACAATGAAATTCAAAGACTTTATTTTTAATAAAAACAGAAGAAAATAAATGTCTAAGTAATAAAAATGATGGATGTCCTAGATGTCGATGCCACAACTATAAATCTTCCTTGGTGGATGGAGTTGAGATGGAATGATAAGCCTGCTGGTCAGACTGATTGAGGATATAGAGACCATTTTCTGTTCTACCACTACCAATTGTCTTCTTCGTGATAAGGTCCTGAAAAAGACAAGAATCAGGGAAAAAAATTACACTACAATTCAAATCTCTAGTAAGACGACTCAATGACAATAGGTTAATGGAAAAATTAAGAAGTTGTAAAATAGAAGACAAAAGTAAAGAAGGGGTGGCACGGATTAAACCTTTCCCGAAGACAGAAGAAATAGTACCATCAACAATCTAAACTTTATCCTGACCAGCGGCTAGTGTATAGTCTGAGAAGAGATCAAAGACCCAGACATATGATCTGAGGCACCAGAATCAATAATCCATGGGAAGGCCTTATGGGATAAGAAAGCACTACAAGATGAGGCTAAGTTACCTGAATGGGAAAACGAAGAAGAAGCAGAAGATGCACCTAGAGGAACAGGAGACCGGCGATCAAGCAGATTGCGCATAGCATCTTCAAACTCAAAAGATGACATACCAGAGACCATATCAGAAGTCTGTATAATCGAAGTTGAATCATGCGTCTCTACAGCACTAGACTAATGAGCACGAGAGTGAGATCCATGTCCTTTCAACTGACTAGAACGCTTGCCTCTATGACCAGAGCGATCTCCTCGACCCCCTGATGGAGTCCCATGAAGCTTCCAACAAGTCTCATGGGTATTCCCGACCAGCGACAATAATCACAGAACAACGGAAGGATAAGAAAAAGGAAATGACCAACTAGCCCCGTCCCGAGAAGGTGCAGAAAGTAATGCTGAGCGGTCTATAGAAGTTGGTGGTAACATGGCAGAATGACGACTTTCTTCATTCTGGATATAAGCAAAAGGCCTCCTAAAGTGATGAAAGAACATCCATGCCAAGGACACGACTCTAGATCTGGTCAAACTCCACATTGAGGCCTTCTAGGAACTTGAAGACTCTCTCCTAGGCAAGAAAATTCTGGTAACCAACTGAGTCAACTGTGCAAACAGGCTTGTAATCCAGAAGATGATTTAGACGTTTCCAACCATTAGTCAAAAAGGTGAAATATTGAAGAATTGTCTGCTCTCCTTGTACTGAGCGCTCAATAGACAAATGACTGAGAAAAATTTCCCTTCTGGGAATATGTAGCAGCTACTGCCTCCCAAACATCTTGGACAGTCTCCATGGATAAATAACCTTCACCAATCTTAGGGACCATGGAATGAATGAGTCACCCTATCATCAAAAAGTTGGTAATCTCCCATTGATCATAGCCAGGATCAGAAATATCTGGTGCTTGAATTCTCCTATCAACATATCCCATCTTCCCCCTACTCTTCAGAAAAAGTGTTACTAAGACCATGCAACCACAAAACAGATAGGTGGTGATTTTGAGGCTGGGGTTTAGGTTCTCAGAAATAGTAGTAATAACTGGATTGGGACTCTCCCCTTTAGATGGGTGAGAAGTAGTGGATTCACTAGATGGGTCAGCCATGTTTATGCTACTATCTTAACCAAAAAACACAGCACTAATCACAATAATGAAAAGAGGGAATGGGACGGACAAGTAATCTCAAATACAAACCACTATGGGAGCATAACACTTAGATTAATGGGGCCATTTACCACCCCAAAAAAAAAAGGTGAAACTTCAATCAAAATGACAGTCTTGGGTTCAACCACAATGAAAAAACACAGTAGTAATAAAGAGGATGAACCAAGGAGTATCAGGATATATGATGTGGAGAAACACTTAGATGTTATCACAGAGAGTTCAAAACACATAGGAGAAGGCCAGAGCGAAGTCCAAAGCACCTACCAAACTATGGAAGAAGCCTGAAGATACCCAGATAGGTGTTGATTTGAGTTGAAAAACCCTAGGATGGGTGTCGGCTGGTCTGAAATCACCCAGAGAAGAGTCAGAAGAGCTTAATAGGCCCTGAACAGCAGCTGGAGGTCGTTTGCTAGAGCCAACAGGGTTTGGAACAGGTTGGGTAGTGACGGGTGGTGGTTGGGTGGTGTATTGATGGTGGCTGGTGGCTGTGTGGGTGACAGGTTTAGGGTTTTGGCTCTGGTACCATGTTTATTTGAGAGAAAACTAACTTAGAGAATGATTAGACAATCACCCTCTTTTATATTGTTAATAGGTAGCTTACAATGGAAACGTTAGAGGCACAAATAAGGAAATAACAGCTAATAGAATAAGAAAGTCCTAAGGCACTAATTAAGGAATCAAAATATAATCTAAATAAGGAAACAAATAATAGAATGATCCTAACATATATTCTAACAGGATGACAGGATTTGTGTTTGTGATCAACCTTCATATAGCAAGTAGTACATATTATGGTAGCCCTACTCTTTGTTAGACCGAGTAGGTATCTACTATGTTATATTTGAATAGAAAAACTGGAAATGGTAAACGGAGTTGCAGTAAGTTTTATCTTTTATGTTGTAGATCCCCAAATTGTGATGTTGTGACACTAAAATTTTAATAATCTAACAATAGATTTTATTTTAGGTCTTTTTTAAACAATATTGATAGCTTAAACTTAAAAAGTTCAGCAATAATGCTGGAGGTCTTCATTTTATCACTTCAATCTAACCTTCGGGTTATAAGACATGTATGTTTTACAATACATTCAATTGTTGTCAAAACTTAAACAACAATAAGTCTTGTTTCATAATTTACTGGTAGTCAGTCGTTGAATTGTTCACAGATAGAACTTTCAGTATCTCTCCTACCACGATCCTTAAACTATTCAACTTTTCATTTCATTTTTGCTTCCAATTAATTGATCTCTTTCATCTTGAAGCAAAACTAGTTCAGTGTTTGCTAAATCTAAAAAATGGTGGCTTAAATGGCATGGAAACTAATGTTTACAAATTCTTCCCTCCTTGCAAAGCATGTTCATATTTCTAAGCATTTATGCTTCTTTGAATTTGTGGAATTACCTTCTCTCCTATTTAATCATATTGTTGGTGTTGGTTGCAGCGTTCATTTGGTGGAATTGAAAGGTACTGGTGAACTTTATGCTATGAAGGCAATGGACAAGTCTGTAATGCTGACTCGTAACAAGGTCTGATGTTAAAGAGAGCCATAACTCTGTGACTCAGAATATGTAGCATAGTTTGTTCTATGTGAGATCATTGATGTTTACCTGATTGCATTTGAACTACATAACTAGCAAATGTCTGCCATGAAGGTTTCTACTGTTCTTGTTAACTTTTTGTCTTTGTAATGTGTTCAATCTGAGTAGCTGTATTATGACAGTTACGTTTCTTGAGAAAAGAGGATCTTGATCTGCAAAATATGCACTTGAGTAACTTATAACTATCATGCACTACCAAGTCTCAAGTTATAGTAGAAGTCAGATAAGTCCTCGAGTCTCCCTGTAAAGTATTGATGGTCAATTGCTCCATTTTGCCTTTTAGTGCTTGAGATGTGAAGAGATGTATGTGTTAGTTCATCAGTTGTCCCATAAGCTTAAGTTGTTAGAAAATTGGCCCAACAATGTATATTAAGCTAGTCAACACCCTCCCTCGTGTACAACCTCGTTTTACACGTGGAGATGCAAATAAACGTACACAAAGAGAAGTATACTGCAAATGAGACCAATGCAAATAGAGAGATTGGAACTCAAGACTTTTCCCAACTTGAGCTTTGATACCATATTAGATTATCAATTGTCCCAGAAGCTTAAGTTGTAGGAAATAAACCCAACAATGTATATAAAGTTTTTCAACAATAAGAAAGCTATGAAACTATCCAAAACACTTTTATATCCTTGCATGAATCTTTTCCTAGAAAGCTCATTGAAGTAAACTTGATGCCATTTAGGTAGTGATGTGGCATGAGCTCTAGTGAGACTTCCATTGAACGCATGGTGGGCAACCAAAACATGTTGATCCATTCTTGTTATATATTGATTAAAAATCATAGACAAGACAAAAGAGAAATATAGAGAATAATGTTAGAATGTGTCCCACATCGTCTAGAGTTACCCTATTTGTGCTAGTTATAAGGTTTCAGTTTCCCTCTCCTTAATACCTGGATTTTAAGGAGATGTGGGCTGCGCTTTTCAATTTGGTATCAAAACTTGGTTGGGCCTGTGACTGGTGTGCTGTTTGTCCGGCTAGTGTATGATGTCGTCCAAGAGGGTGTGTTGGAATGTGTCCCACTTCGCCTGGAGTTGCCCCATCTATGCTAGTTATAAGGTTTCCGTTTCTCTCTTCTTAATACTTGGGTTTTAAGGAGAAATGTGAGTTGAGCTTTTCAATTAATAGCAAAGAAAGAAGACAAAAATAGAAAGAGAAGATATATGAAGAGAATAGAGAAGGGCAAAGATTAAAAGAAGGGAAATTATATTTACACACCATCATTTGTCTTAATACACACCATCTGCTCACTATTTATTCAGTTCACACCACACACAAATTGAATATGTTGATTTTGTCTCAATACATACCACCAATACCATATTAACCTCATCTTCTCCAACAAACCCTAACCCTAAACACTTACACCACTGGCCACCACCCCCTCCGATCATCACCCCCTCCATTTATCTAGTGACTTGGCGGAGTAAAAAGCAAGTTGTTGTGGCTAGATCAAGTGTAGAAGTAGAGTACCGGGCAATAGCAAATGGCATTTGTGAGCTCCTACGGCTTCAAGTGTTATTAGCTAACTTAGGATTGTTAAATGGTGGAACAATGCGGTTGTATTGTGATAATAAGGCTGCTATTGGCATCGCTCATAATCCTGTCCAGCATGATAGGACCAAACACATTGAGATTGACAGACATTTTATCAAGAAGAAAATAAGTAGTGGTGTGATTTGTATGCCTTTTGTGCAATCCAAAGATCAGTTGGCCAATGTTTTTACTAAAGGGTTAGGTAGCAAGGTTTTTCATCCCATTGTGTGCAAGTTGGGCATGAGAGATATCTATGCACCAACTTGAAGGGGAGTGTTAAGTTAGATGAAGGGTATTGTTGTCTTTATGTACTTATTGCTCCTAGTATAAATACATAGTGTTATCGAGGGAAACCCTAAGATGAGGTTTTGTGCCTCTTCCTACTAATATCTCTCTCTTGCATTTTCCTCCTCTTTTCTCACTCTTAAACTTGTTCTTGTAATTTTAACTATATGACTTTTTGACTGTTTTTGTATCAACACCTATATTATTCTTTCACTCGCTGTGTAATTTATATTGTAAAACATATAATATGAATTGTAGATTTCTTATTGTGTTGTACTCTAGGAACCTTGCAGTTTGGTGCAGTCATATACGTTTGTTGATTTGTGCAAAAGAGATAATCATGTCATATCACTTCTTATTATTAAGCCAGCCATGAAAAGTTATGCAGGTACACCGAGCATGCATTGAAAGGGAAATCATTTCTCTATTGGATCATCCTTTCCTACCGACTCTATACACATCATTTCAGGTTTTACATATTTTCATCAAAATTTTAATGACAGACACCCCCATGTGCACACACATATACTCAACTTTACAATTGCCTTTAATCCTCTGTATGCACGTGTACATGTTGGTAATTGATGTGCATAATGCAGCAGTGGTAGCAAACAATTGTATAATTTCTAATATGGAAAATATGCAACAATATTTCTGTTCTGTGATTCACATGAGCTCTTTTCAGTACTTTGTTCACAGTTGCTTCAGAGGGAATATTTTTCATGCTGATAATATTTGAGTGTGCATGAGACATCATTTTGGATGTTTACATAAGTTTTCCGTTGTTCAATATTGTTTTTACATAATATACTATTTGAGGTGGAACATGTATGCTTACATATTACATAACTCTAATTAGAAGGAAGAGTGATATGATCACCAGACATGGGAATGCTAAGGGTAGGGGAAGACCTAAATTGATATGGGATGTAATAGTAAAAAATGATAGGAATTTATTTTCTTTAACTGAGCATTTGTGAAGAATGAGTTACTAGAGTAGATAATTTCCCAATTCTGGTTTTAGTTCTACTTTTGCAGATTTTATGAATAGGTAAAATGAAGAAATAGCATGAAAATAACTCATTTATGGCATGATGTTAATGAAGAAAGTTATGTTGTTGTGTATATTATAGGCGGTAGGTTAAGGGGCTCCGTAGAGTGAAGCGGTTCTTAGTGGTCTCGCACTCAATTTACCCTTCAAGCCAAAATAATTCCCATATTGAAGCCCACTTAAGAGTCCATAATCATTTGCCATAAAACTGAAGTTAACCAGTCATGGTTCCACTTATAAACACAGATTAGAGGAGTTTATATACCTATGCCTGTAAGGGCCCATCGTGATTGTATAACAGGATACACAAGGAACCATAACAACTATAACCAATTTCAAAATGGCCACATAATCATATACCTGTGATTTGATTTTTGCTGCCAATTAGTTATAGCACACTAAGAAACTTCCTCCCGTTGACTTCATGAAAAGGACCATTCCCATCATTACTTGAGAACAAAGTTCCTTCGTTACAATATTAGTTGGTTGAGGGGTGGATGACCTTATCACTATTACATGGTCTTGGGTAGAATTCAATCCCAAAAGCTACTTGTTGATGTGAGGGTGCCCTCACGCTCACACTTATATATTGCACATTAATTTTGCTTCACAGCCACCTCACCTAAAACTTTTGGTATTGATGATGAGGTGAGCCATGTTTTTTTGGTCTTCGGAGGCAATGAGGGGTGGCATTTGAGTCTTATTCTTCATGTTCTTGAACCTTTTCTTATTTTTCTAAAATTTCACTAAATATTTCTTTCTTTTGTTTTTGTTTTGAAAATTCATTCCTGTTTCATTTGACCTTGATAGTTTATGGCGTGCCTATTGTTGGAAAGCTTAGAAAGTTCTATTTTCATTTAAGATTATTTTGGACCAATGAAATCAAGTATTTTTCTGATACATAGACAACGTTCCTTAAGGTGGTCAGATTAGGCACACATTTTTAATTTGCTTATTCAGGCCCATTATGTATCAATAGAAATCCCTTTTGAACTTAGTCTTTAATGCTAAAAGTGACAATGATTTTTTGTTGTAATGAAGGTCACAAAAATGTGAGGTCAAATTAGTTAGCTTTTTTGTTATTTGGGAAGCGGCCGGTTTAGCCAAAAAGTCAAAAAGTTACTAAAAAAAATCAAAAAGCTAACAACCCATATCAAAAAGTCAAAGATTTCATTTTCTCTCTACTTTTTGCACATCTTTTCGTAAAAAGTCAAAAAGTCATTCCAAACATACTAGTTTTTTTTACATCACATTTTAGCAAAAATGCCAAAAAGTTACTAAAAAAACCTGTTGCCAAACGAGGCCATTGGCAACTTGATCAATTGATTAAATGTGAGGCCATGTCTTTAAGTTTGTTTATGCTTCAAAACCATTTTCAAACCACTAAGTAGAGATTGATCAAATCAAAGAAGCTTTAGATTATTTTTTGATAGTGTTGAACTAATTTCTTCTCTAATCATTGATGAAACCCGAGTGAGTGTAAGTTTTATATCTGGTGCAAGATGTGAAGTCTACAATCTGGTAACACATACTTGAAAAACTTACAAGAGCAAGTGTTTGAGACATTTTATTTATTAAAATGTAAAATAGGCATGGGTGCTCGTTTACTCTCCTTTCTCATTTATCAAAGCTCATTAATAGTTAAACTTCACTGCATATTTCCATTGTTAATGTATTTTCACATTTCTCATTGATGTTGGTATAAAGATATCTATCTTTTTTATTCGAGTACCAAACTACCTATTGAAGTAAGGTTTACTGGTACATCTTCGTCTCCTCAGACTTCTACGCATGTTTGCTTGATTACGGACTTTTGCCCTGGAGGAGAGCTATTTGCCTTGCTTGACAAGCAACCGATGAAACTATTTAAAGAGGAATCTGCAAGGTACTGTATCCTTCTATTATTTTATGTTGACAAATCTGATAGAATATATGTCAAAATTATTCTATTATTTGTTTCTTTATTTAGAGTATATTCTCACTCCTTAATTAGTGCCTTATGGGTTTTTTTTAACAGTTTTGGTTGATTAATATAAAAGGGTGTGATATTGGTAGGACTTATTTTCAGCTTATTTCAACATTTAACTTAATTTAAGCTATTTTGATGTGTTTGGTTCAACTTAACAATACAGCGTATAACTTTTTGTAAGTCAAAAATCAACGTATTCTTTGAGTGGAGGAGGAGAAGCTTTTATAAGTCAAAAATTAGCTTATGTTCACAGATATAAGATATAAACTGTTAAACTATAAGTTATAATCACTTTCCCACAGCTCTACCAAACGGGCCATCATTATCATCCCTTGAGTTTGATTTCACCTAAATATGGTATCGGAGCCAATTTGACCTACCCAACCACTTTCGACACACCTACCCTCTTACCCAATACCTTTTTAGTAGTCAGACAACATCAACTACCTTATTGGAGCTACCCATCAACTTTCAACTCATCCACAGGTTGTGTCGGGCTGTCTCATGCCAACCTAGGGTTCGTCAGTCACCCACGACCCCCTGTTGCATGTCGTACCTCATCTACGGCCTTAGCTGTGTGTCGCGACATCTCCTGAGGCTCACCCAGCCATCGTGATCATTCTCTGTGACATCTCTCACTCCCGACGCCTTCCACCAATGCCTTGACTGACCTGTTGTGCACTTGTTCCATTTGGTGTTGTTGCTGACTTCTTGGGTTTTATTTAGACTGTTGTTTTGATTGGAGGTTCTGTTCTCCTTTAATTTAATTTATTTTTTTGGGTCATTATATGGCCCCATGATTTTGATTGTTATGCTCCCATAGTGGCCTCTGTTTGATATTGCTTGTTTCAAGTCAGTCCATTCCATCTTCCCGTCATTGTGATTAGTGCAGAATTTTTTGGTTGTGATAGTCGAGTATAAATGGCTGACCCATCTAGTAAATCTACCGCTACTTCTCACCCACCCAAAGGGGAGAGTCCCATTGTGACTACTACATCTTGGAACTGGCTCAAAGTCACCGCCTCAAAATCATCACCTCTTTATTTAATGGTCAGAATTACCTTGCGTCGTCGCAGTCTCTAACACTTTCTGAAGAGTAAGGGGAAGATAGGTTATATTGATGGGCGAGTCCAAGCACCAAGAATCACTGATCTTGGTTATGACCAATGGAAGATTACCAACTCCTTGATTATGGGATGACTCATCTATTCCATGGTCCCGGATATTGGCGAGGGTTACTTGTCTATGGAGACTGTTCAGGATGTTTGGGATGTTGTGGCCACTACATATTCCCAGAAGGGGAATTTTTTACAGACCTTTGAGTTGCGCCAATCTATTGAGCGTTCAATGCAGGGGGAGCAGATTGTTCTTCAGTGCTTTACTTTTCTGAATAATGGCTGAAAACACCTTGATCACTTACAGCATTATAAACCAATCTGCACAACTAATTCAGTTGCATACCGAAAGTTTGTTGCACAGGAACAAGTATTCAATTTTTGGAAGGTCTTAACTTAGAGTTTGATCCGGTTCAGAGTCGTATCCTTGGTATGGATACTCTTCCCTCTCTTCAGGAGGCCTTTGCTTATATATAGAATAAGGAGAGTCGTCATTCTGCTATGATGCCATCTATTTCTACAGAACGCTCTACCCTCCTCCTAGGGATGGGACCAATACTGGCGCCGGTCGAGACATACTCACGAGACATGTTGGAAGCTTCATGGTGCTCTATCAGGGGGTCGTAGTGATCGCTCTGGTAATAGAAGAGATAGATTAGGTAAGTCTAGAGGACATGGATCTAACTCCTATGCCCATCAATCTAATGCAGTTGACTCACATGACTCTGCTTCGAGTGTTCATCATGTTTACTTCTGAGCTTGAGGATGTTTTGCGTCACTTGCTAGACCGTCGGTTTTCCACTACTCCTACAGGTGCATTTTCCTCTTCGTTTGCCTGCTTAGGTAACTTAGTCTCTTCTTCTAGTGCTTTACTCTCCCATAAGTCTTTACCATGGATTATTGATTCTGGTACCTCATATCATATGTTTGGGTTATCTGATCTGTTCTCGAACTATATGCCTATTTCTGCTCAAGACAAAGTTAGGATTGTAGTTGGTACTATTTCTTTTGTTTCTCAGAAATGTTTAATCCGTGCCACTCCTTCTATACCTTTGTCATCTGTTTTATACATTCCAAATTTCTCTGTTAATCTTTTATCATTGAGTTGTCTTACTCGGGATTCGAACTGTAGTGTGACTTTTTTCCCTGATCATTGTTTGTTTCAGGACCTTTTCATGAGGACGATTAGCAGTGATAAAATGGAACATGGTCTCTATATCCTAGATCAGACAAACAAGTTGGCTCATCATTCCATCCAGTTTTCAACCACCAAGGAAGACTTATGGTTGTGGCATCGGTGTCTTGGGTATCCATCTTTTTTATTACTTAGGCATTTATTTCCCTCTATTTTTACCAAAAATAATATTGTGAGTCGTGTCAACTTGGCAAACAATACAGAGCTTCTTTTGCTCCTAGTCTTGATAAAAGATTAGTACCTTTTTCCTTAATACATTCTGATGTTCGGAGCCTATCTTGTGTTGTGTCTTTGAAAGGTCGTAGATGGTTTGTCACTTTTATAGATGACTTTTCTTGCACTACTTGGGTGGATCACATGAAAGAAAATAGTGAGGTTTTTCTTTATTCCAAAATTTTCATAAAATGATTGGTACTCAATTTGGTAAAAGGCGTACCTAGTGCACGAAGCTCTCGCTTAAGTGAGGTCTGGGGAGGGGTTGATGTACGTAGCCTTATTCCCACAAACGGAGTGGCTGTTTCCGTGACTCGAACCAATGACCACCAAGTCACCAAGGGGAAGCTTTACTGCTACGCCAAGTCCACCCTTCTGGTACTCAATTTTTTGCAGTTCTAAAAATATTGCTTTTTGATTACAGGGGTGATACATTGATTCAGAGTTAGCAAGATATTTTTCTACACATAGCATTATCCATCAGACTTCTTGCACCGACACCCCTTAGCAAAATGGGGTTGCCGAGCACAAGAATCGTCATCTTCTTGATATGGCGTGCTACACGTGTTTCTCTATAGGTGTGCATCGGTCCTACTGGGGGGAGGCTGTTCTCACTATTGCATATCTCATAAATCGTCTTCCTATCCAAGTATTGCATAAACAAGTTCCTTTCTAAGTTCTCTTAAGTTCTGAGTCTCTGTTTTCTATGTTTCGTAAAATCTTTGGTTGTGTCTGTTTTGTCTATAATCATTCCCCTACTTGGGGTAAGTTAGATCTCACTCTCTCAAGTGTGTTTTCCTGGGGTACTCGCCAACTCAAAAGGGATACAAGTGTTATCACCCTCCAACTCGTAAATGGTTTCTCTCTATGGATGTCACCTTCTTCGAGTCCCAGTCTTACTTCTTATCCTGTCTAGTGTCACTGTCATCCCTTCAGGGAGTGCCTTGGTATGAAGAGATTCTTATTGTTCCTGTTGCTTCTAGATCATTACCAGTTGTGGAGACTATCCAGGGTGAACCAAATGTTACTAGCAATATAGAATCCAATGTCATCAAGGACAAGGAAGAGTAAGTCTATGTCAGGGACAAAGAAAGGCAAAAAATTACGTGGATGCAAGAGACCATTTTTGATCATCCAATGTTGTCTCCTTCTCCTGATGAGAGTCTAGGTAACCCTCCTGATGAGAGTCCAAGTAACCCTCGTGTTCTCCTTGAGTCCACTGGTATTACTATTCCTGAGCCTATTAATCTTGATATACCTATTGACAAACGAAAGGGTATGAGATCTTGTACTCATCATCCTATTTCTAATTTTGTAATCTATTCTCATTTGTCTTCCTCATATAAAACCTTTGTGTCGAAATTTTCTCTCTTAGTATACGTAATCATTTTCAGGATGCTCTTGCTATCTCTGAGTAAAAACTTGCCATGGTAGAGTAAATGAAAGCATTTTGTAAGAGTGGCACTTGGGATTTGACTGAGTTAGAGCATCGCCAATGGCAAATGCTATAATAGCATTGCCATTGCCAAATTATGGCAATGAATAGTAAAAAATGGATGAAAAATAGCAATGGTGCTCCAATGGTTCAGCTGCCATTTTTGCGATTTTGCCACAGAAACTGGTGTTTTTGGACGTCCGGCCGGTCGTCCGAAAACACCAGTTTTTGTGTTTCTTCTGCAAAAATGACGAGCGGAAGGAAGGGATGATTTGCTGGAAGGAGGGAGGGGAAAGAGGGAGATGTTTATGGATAATTTGGGACAAATAGCAGCTGCCAAAGTTTGTGTCAAATTTTCTCAAATATAGTAGCTGCTATTTATGGCCATTGGAGTGCTGGAGCTGCCAAATTATGGCAATACCTAGGGGCAAATGAACTGTGGGATGCGAATAGGTGTATGTTGTGAAGCACAAGGAAGATGGTTCAATTGAGCAGTATAAGGCTTGACTTGTGGCAAAGGGTTTTATGGGGTGGACTACCAAGAGACATTTGCTCCAGTTGCAAAGATGAATTCAGTTAGAGTACTTCTCTCTCTGGCAGTTAATCTAGATTGGCCACTTCATCAATTTGATGTGAAAAATGTTTTCCTGCATGGTGACCTAGAAGAAGAGGTGTATATGGACATTCCTCTTGGCTTTGAAACTCTTCAAACTAAGGGTAAGGTGCGTCAATTTCGAAAGTCATTATATGGCCTCAAACAGTCCCCTAGAGCTTGGTTTGAGAGGTTCACTTAGGCAATACTGAAATTTGGCTTCAAACAAAGTCAGGCTAATCATACTCTATTTGTTAAACATTCCTCTCATTGTAAGATTACAGCTCTCATTGTATATGTGGATGACATAGTGCTTATAGGAGATGATGCTGAGAAAATCCCTTTGTTGAAGAAGTATTTGACAAATGAGTTTGAAATCAAAGACTTGGGAAACCTAAAGTACTTTCTGGGGATTGAAGTGGCTAGGTTCAAAGATGGAATTTTCATCTATCAAAGAAAATATATCCTTGACTTGTTAAAGGAAACAGGGATGTTTGGAAGCAAAGCCTGTGACACACCACCTTTGGAGCCTAATCAGAAACTTAGTGATGATAGTGGAGGACCAGCCGTTGATAAGGGGAGTTATTAGAGACTAGTGGGTTAGTTCATTTGCTTATCCCATTCTCGTCCTGATATTGTTATTGTTGTTAGTGTGGTTAGCCAGTTTATGCATACTCCTCATGAAATACACTTGGATGTAGTTATAAGAATCTTGAGATACTTAAAATCTTTTCCTGGAAAAAGTTTTTATTTTTCCAAACATGATCATCTTAGTGTGGAAGCTTATACAGATGTTGATTGGACATGGTCTGTAACTGATAGAAGGTCCATTTCACAGTATTGTACATTTGTTGGAGGCAATTTGGTTACCTGGAGAAATAAGAAACAATATGATGTTGCCAAGTCTAATGCAGAAACTGAGTTGAGAGCTATAGCACAAAGTGTGTGTGAGCTCTTGTGGATCAAGTTTGTTATTGAGTGATCTGAGAATTGGCTAGACAAACTCCATATGGCTATATTGTAATAATAAGGTTGCCATTAACATAACTCACAATTTGGTTCAACATGACAGGACAAAACATGTCGAGATTGATCGTCACTTCATTGAAGAGAAGCTCACTAGTGGCACAATATGTACTCCATTTGTGAAATCTGGTGAATAATTTGCAAACATCCTCACTAAAGGAGTTAGGAGTAAACCTTTTCATGATATTCTTGATAAACTGAGTATAAGAGATATCATTGCACCAACTTGAGGGGGATGGTTAGAATATATTTTAGAATTATTCTATTATTTGTTTTCTTATTTAGATTATATTGTGATTCCTTAATTAATGCCTTAGGGCTTTCTTTGTAACAATTTTGGTTGATTAATATAAAAGGGTGTGCTATCATTATCATACCTTAAGTTTGATTTCACCTAAATAAACAAAAACTACTCCTAACCTAGGATCAAAATTTCGTTTTGATACGTTAACCTTGAAACAAAAATATTTCAGTTTTGTTTTAGAAACGTTAGAGAAACAACAAAAAGAAAAATTAAACTAAAGCTATATAAATGCTTATACAAGCTCAATAATTAAATAAATGAACATGTTTGAGGTCTACACATCTCTTTACATAAAAGGCCCAAATAAGTAATTTGGAGGTAAGTGAACCAGGAATCGTTAAATTAGTTATACAAATCAATCTTATCAAGTACAAGCATATACAATTCTAAAGACTAATGCTACAATGACCCTGGTTGTATGCCACCACATTTAGTTTACCACATGGATGTGCCATTATTGTATTCGTAATAGACATGAGTGGTGGGACCCATTCAACCAAGGCCATTATGACAGACATGGCCATTGTAGCATTATCCAATTCTAAATGTGCATCAAGTTCCAGCCAAATAAAATTACAATATTAATGGTAAACAAAGGTCAAAGCATTTGCAAGGTGTAGGAGGTCTTTCATGTGAACATGGTTAAAGTCTTTCATGTGAACATGGTTAAAGTGTCTTGTAATATAAACAAGGTTTAATAAAAGTCAATGAATGTCATAAACTCATAAACAAAATGTTCAATCAGTTTGTTAGGGAAGGGGGTTCATAAGAAATACTAGATTTTAGTAGTAGGGACAAAACAAATGGAAGCATATGTTTGAACCAAAAAAAAAAAAAGGTTCCTTTAATAATAACAAAAAAAAGAAAAGAAAAGTAAGTTATCTATGTTCATTTTTTCTTGACCTCCCTATCTCTCCTCTCCTTTCTACTTTATCAGCTTTTTTAATATATTAAAGAATTTTCTTTGTTCTCGTAAATTTTTTAAATAAAAAAAAAATGATAAATAAAATAAATTTTTCTATATATTCTTAATGGGTGTTGAAACAACTCATTGTTTCCAAATATTTGTAGTATTTTAGTTAGTTTTGATGGAAATTTAGGTTAGTTTTGGTGGAAACATTGGGGTAGTGTTTGGTAGAGTTTTCTAAATATGATTTGAGAATAGAGTTGTATTTTGAGTTTGTGAGTTTTGGAATTATGATTTGAGTGTGGAAAATTTGTTTGGCGAATGAGTTTTGAAAAGAATTTTGAATTGAGTGAAATTTTTTTGATGTGACTTACGATATTTGATACAAAAACTTACAACTCATAACCAAACACACAACTCAAAATTCTATTCAAAGCTCATAAAAAAAATTTAAAAATTCCGATTTTTTTTAATTTAAAATATAAAAAATAACAGGTGCCAAAAAAAAATAAAAATAAATAGCATTGTTCTGGTCAACCAGCCGGACATTCGGGAGGACGACCAGTTAGCCCAAATTTTTCCGATTTGGACAGAGTTTTCAACAGTGGGTGTGGAATTAATTTTTGAAAACTATAAACAAACAAGACACTTAAAACAAGGGGTGAAAATGTGTTTGGAGGGCTTCTCAAAAAACAGTCTGGAATTTTCGTTTTCCACTAATGTTTCATGTCTTTACTAAGGAAACATAAATGTTTCAGCTGTTTTGATGAAAATGAAACAGAATTTTGCTCCTTAACCTTACCATTCACTAAAAATCTGCAATTGCCATAAATATATTTAGTTGTTGCAAGTTGTTATCCGTGCTTGCACTAGAAATATTGGGTGGTTGAAGTACATCACATCAATGTTGCATTTGGTGGATTGACCTACGAATGATTGATTGCTGGGTGTATGACCTGAAATTTTTCACAGCATATGAAGTGGACATATCTTCATGATTCAAGTATGGTCTGCTATGATTGATTCTATTATATTTGATCTACTGTTTCATGAGTCATGCAAGAAGGTGATTGACTCATTGGTTGTAGATTTCTTTTTGTTTCTGAGAGAATCATCAAGACAAATCACAATATATATATATATATATAATATGCATAGTTATGTCTACAACCCACAAATTCATCCGTACTTAATTTTGACTGCTATACATCTACAGATTCTACGTAGCAGAAGTTGTGGTCGGCTTGGAATATCTTCACTGTTTAGGTATCTTATCAACTGAGGACTCAATTGCTTTTTCCCTTTAACTATTTCTTTTAAATTTTATTTTCATACGTTGAACATGTTTGAATGACTTCCACAAGCTAAGAAGTATGGATACAGACACGACACAACATGGTCATGGTAGTGACATGCCGGCACAAATATAGTTATGTCTACAACCCACAAATTCATCCATACTTAATTTTGACTGCTATACATCTACAGATTCTACGTAGCAGAAGTTGTGGTCGGCTTGGAATATCTTCATTGTTTAGGTATCTTATCAACTGAGGACTCAATTGCTTTTTCCCTTTAACTATTTCTTTTAAATTTTATTTTCATACGTTGAACATGTTTGAATGACTTCCACAAGCTAAGAAGTATGGATACAGACACGACACAACATGGTCATGGTAGTGACACGCCGGCACAAATTTTAAAAAAAAAAATGCAGCACACGACACATAGGGAACACACGCTTTTTATATATTCATTATTTGTCATATTTTCATTCAAAGATAATAACAAAAAAAAAACCACATAACACTAATTTCTACAATTTAATGGAGGGAGATTAATAGAAACCTACATTGTTTCCATTTTACTAGAGGGTTCCAAGTTTTTTTTTTCAAGAAGGTGTTTCATGTGTGTCTAGATGATAAACACGTGTCCCCCAAGTGTTTAGCTAAAAAATATACACATTTGAATGTTTTTTCAACATGTGTCAAGAAATGTCCAACAAGTATCGGTGTCTAACACATGTCCGACCCCACCACATCGCCTTATTAGAAGTGTTTGTGCTTCTTAGTCCACAAGTGACCAATTCAGCTATCTTGGATCCTTTCTTGAGAAAGAAATGGAAATTAAAGATGTTTCCTCATGAGATTTGAGCTGAATGGATGAATTGGAGCAGCAGCTTCACAGTGTCATGTCATATGCAAGGAACAATTTATTTATTTATTTTTTCATCAAAATGGTTGATACATTTCTATTGCCTAGAAAACTAAAACGAAACATGAGTGGAATACCAAAATTCTAATGTTCCCACCAATGAACTATAAAGCATACTAAAACAATAAGTTGTTTTGAAACCTATTAGGAATATCCAACAAAGGTTATTGCTATTTGCCACTTTTTGTTAAAAGAAAATATTTTAGAATGTATAAAAGTTTAGAGAATTTGAGAAGCTAGAAAGGAGGAGAGAGGAGAAATTAAAAGAAGCATGATTAAGTCACTTATTCACTTTCTTTGTTACTGCAAATTACCTTTTTCATAATTTTTTCTTCGTTTTATCTCTACTACTGCTAGATTTTTTTTTACTTTTTATATGTTTTGTTACAATAGAAAACACCCTCTCAACTAGGCCTTTAAACCTTTGGTTTATGAGCTTCTAATATTATATACCTCAACATGTTCAATTGTTTAATTATTGAGAATGTTTTAACATTTATATATGTTGAATGTTTTGTTTCCTAAGACTTTCATACATTTCCAAATTCTTTTGTCGTTTCTCTTGTGTTTCTGAAGTGTTTTTGTTTCCGAGCTAACTAAAACAACATATTGAAACGAGATTTTGATAATTGGTAGTATGACTTATCAAGAGAAATTTCTATGTGATAGCTTTAAAGAGAGGAGAAAGGCAACCTCTTATGTCCCAGCTGATGATAAACTTAGCCCCTTCTCTTCGTATTTGATTGGCATTCACATCTCTCATTTAATCGCTTTATCGTTGCATGAGTAAATTGGTCATCTTGAAAAAGGTGCTTCATTACTATACAAGATCTAGGGGGCACTATTCTAGTGTGAGGGAAAACCACAAAATTGGATTGGGCATTTTTCTAGCATGTGGCTTATGTATGCATTCATTAAGGTTAGTGGATTGGGTTGATTGAGTTGGAGTTGACTATTAACCCTAAATAACAAAACCAACCTGAACCTAGAGGGATACAGATTGGTTCGGTAATTGGTTTACATGGACTAACTTGCACCGCTAGCTTTAAGGCCAAAGTGTGAAACTTAATTATTATACAACATGGACATAAAATGATAGCAACTGTATTGAGAACTCTAAGGGCATGTTTGATTGGGTGGATTAGAGCATGGGATTAGGATTATTAATCCGTGGGCCCAATTATCCTATGTTTGTTTTAATATTTTGGTTTAGGATTATTAATCCAATGGATAATTATTACCAGGAGCAGACTTCAAATACCTCAAGATTCTCATGACAGCCTCAAAGTGAATCTGATGAGGAGCATGCATAAACTGACTTGTTTGGGCCTTTTATGGACTAACTTGGTTTACATGGACTAACTTGCACCGCTAGCTTTAAGGCCAAAGTGTGAAACTTAATTGTTATACAACATGGACATAAAATGATAGCAACTGTATTGAGAACTCTAAGATTAATATATTAGGGATTTATGTATATATAGTAGTATATATATTTTGTATATATTAGGGATTGAAATAATTCGTATTTCCTTTGTCGTTCTAGGGTTAGATTGTTATATAAACTAATGTATTCTTGTATTACCTACACAATTGAATATACGAATTATTCAGAAATCTTACATGGTATTAGAGCCAAAAACCCTAGAAACTGTTGCTCTCTCAGTCGTGAGTAGTGGGTGATCTTCTCCCCTAATCGCGATATTGAAACAGGTTCTTGACTGGTCTCTCTCTGGTTCCCGACATCATCACGACATAAGTTCAATCGTTGATTCAGTCCCTCAGTCGAAGTTGTGCCTCGTCTTCGCTGGTTGAAGTCGAGTGGTCTGGTCTTCCTAGGTCGATCGACTCTGGTTCGTGATCATCAGAAGCTTTTCTCTCTCTCTCTGGAATCACGATCATGGTTCGACTGAACTCTCTCTCTAGCTCTAGGTCACGCGATTGAAGAGTTGTTTGAATCTGTCCCTCTCGATCGACTTCTGCGAGTTGCTCTGTGTGTGTGTGTGTTGGGGATTTTGATTCTCTCAGTACTGTTATTTGGTTGTTATTTGATTATTATACTTCAACTTATTAATTTTTGGTTTATTACAATGACGGACACCAAAATCCAAGCCATCAGATGTAAACTCACTGGTGCCAATTAGGCTTATTGGGCTAGTGTTACGTAGAATTTTCTTCTTGGTAAAAAAAAATGGGGCTATGTTTCTGGTTCTGTTCCTCGTCTATTGGACTTGAAAGTAAAAGGATATGTGACTTCCTGTGACACTTGGAATTGTAGTAATTTCTAAGTTCTGACCTGGTTTCATAATTCTATGGATGACCATATTGGAATGATGTTTTCCAAATAGAGTACTGCCAATGAGGTGTGGAACTATTTATTGGGTGTGTATCAACAGTCCAACTTTGCCAAGCGGTATGAGTTGGAAACAACTATTCAGAGTGCTCGTCAGCACGATCAATCTATTCAAGACTTCTACATTGAGATGATAGGTCTTTGGGATCAGTTGGCTCTCATGGAACCATCTAGCCTCAAGGCACTAGATGCTTATGTTGAGTTTCGGGAGAAGGATCATTTAGTGCAGTTCTTAACAGCTCTCTCCCCTCAGTACGAGGCTATCTGTGGTGGCATCCTTCATCGGTCTCCTTTTCCCTCTGTAGATGCTATTGTTCATGAGCTCCTCTCCCATGAATCCTGTCTTAAGACGACCAGTCAGACTTTGTCTCCATCTTTCTTCTTGGCTCCTACTTAGCCTCCTCTGTTGACGACCTCACTACCTTGTCAGCTTCAGGCCACTGCGAAGCCTAAGAAGGGGCCACTAGCCTTTGATGAGTGTGCCTTTTGCCATCAGAAGGGCCATTAGAAGTACAATTGTCCCTAGAAGGGACGTCAGTCTACCCAGTCTTCTCAACCACCTCAGAAACAGTTCTGAGGTCCTGCTCCGAGTACTTTTGGGCCTCCTACTGCTTATACTGCAACTGCTCTGGTTCCTGATACTGACTTGGCTTCCTTGAATGCCTAGATTGCTCAGTTTCAGCATCTCTTGTCCATCTCCCAGCCATCCCAATCTGCTTTTGCTCTCACTTCTCTTTATTCAGGTTTGTTTGGGTCCTCTTCAAGTATCTCCTCTTCTGTCTGACTTTTTGACTCTGGTGCCTCTCATCATATGACTCCTCATCTTTCCTTACTTCAAAACTATATCCCCCTTCGCTCTCCTATTACTATTAATATTGCTAATGGGTCTAATATACCTGTTCTATCTATTGGGTCTGTCTTACCCTCTGTCATGTCTGTTGTTACTATTCCCTCTGTTCTTTATTTTCCTCAGCTATCTGTCAGTTTATTATCTATCAGTCAATTTGATGCTTTTGGTTTTGATGTTAGCTTTTCCTCTTTTATCTGTTGTGTGCAGGATCGGGTGTCAAAGAAGCAGATTGGGACCGGCCGTAAAGTTGGAGATCTCTATGTGGTAGAAAGCTTGCATCTCCCTCTATCCACCTCTCCAGTTGCCTTTTCTTCTTTTCAATTAAATTCTCAGTTGAGTCAATTTTATTTGTGGCATTCTCGCTTAGGTCATTTGTTTGTTGATTGCTTATGGTCTTTAGCTCAGTTAAGATTATTGGGTAAAGTTTCTCCTAGTCAAATTGATGAATGTCGAGTGTAAACTTACCAAAATATCAGCTTTACCATTTAATAAAAAGTACTTTTGTACTTTTGTTTCTGTTTCTCCATTTTCTTTTGTGCATACTGATGTTTGGGGACCCTCTCTTGTTCTCACTAAAAGGGGTTTCGCTTATTATGTGTCTTTTGTTGATGATTGCACCCCGTTATACTTGGATTTATCTTTTGACTCATAAATTTGACTTCTACTAAATTTATCGTACCTTTCAGTCTATGATCACTACGCAGTTTGGGGTTACCATTAAATTGTTACGATCTGACTTGGGTAAGGAATATTTTAAAACTGAGTTCTGTGAGTATTTAGCTAATTTGGGTACCATTCACCAAACCTCTTGCACTAATACACCCACCCAAAATGGTCGCACTGAGCGTAAACACTGTCATCTCCTTGAAATAACTAGGTCTCTCCTTCTCTCTGCCTCTGTTCCGGCTCCTTTTTGGGGTGAAACAGTTCTCACTGCTGTTTTTCTTCTAAACCGTATGCCTACTCCCTTACTCTCCGGTCGTTCTCCTTATAAGGCTCTATTCTCCTAACTTTCCAATTACTCCCTTTTATGTGTTTTTGGGTCTGCTTGTTTTGTCCTTCTTCCACATAAAGATAGGACCAAACTTAGTGCTCGGTCTGTTATGTGTGCCTTTTTAGGCTACAATCTTACCTAGAAAGGCTATCGCTATTATGACCCTAATTCTCGTCACCTTTATGTCTCCCGCCATGTTGCCTTTCTCGAACGTCTGTCTTACTTTCAGCTTCCCCTTATCACTGCTCTAGTTTTCAAAGAGGATTTGGTTCACATTGATCCATTTCCTTCTGAGGTCCCTTCGGATGAGTACATCTCTCTTGCATGAGCTTATTCCCTCTACCACCCCTCTGCCGAGTCTCTTTCCAGTGACCCCCATGAGTCTATTCCCTTTTCTCTTCCTCCTTCTCTTTCCGTCTCCTCTTCCGTTGTTAATCTATTCTCGTCGCCTGGCTTCCCCTCCATCAGTTATCTCTGCCCTTATTGCTAACCCTCCTGCCTCTGACGACTCTGACCTTGCCAATCGTAAGTATCCCCTCTGCATCCGTAAACAGGTAGACAAACTTGGTTTTGAAAAACATGTTTTTCTCCTTCATATTGCACCTTTTTGTCTACTATTCGCTCTTTTTTAGAACCCCAGTCTTACAAGGAAGCCTGTCAGGATCCTAATTGGATTAGAGCCATAAAGGATGAGTTGTCTGCCTTGCAGAAGACTACTACTTGGGAGCTAGTTCCTTTGTCTGCTGGCAAGAATCTGGTTGGTTGCAAATGGGTCTATAAAGTCAAGACTCATTCTGATAGTTCTCTCGAGCGTTACAAAAGTCTCCTGGTTGTAAAAGATTTCTCGCAGGAGTATGGTATTGATTATGAGGAGACATTTGCCCCTGTTGCTAAAATAACTACTGCCCATACTTTGATCTCTATCACTGTTGTTCGTCATTGACCTCCTTATCAGATGGATGTTAAGAATGCTTTTCTTAATGCCCATCTCACTAAGGAGGTGTATATGCGTCCTCCCCCTGACCTTCCTCATTCCTCTAGACAAGTTTGTCATCTACGGCATGCTCTGTATGGTTTGAAATAATCTTCTCGTGCTTGGTATGATCATTTTCAAATAGCTATTATTGAGCTTAGGTTTCATCCTTGTGCCCATGACTCCGCTTTGTTTCTCTTTCACACCTTTATTGGTTTTGTTGCCTTATTATTGCATGTAGATGATATGATCATCCCTGGCTCTGACTGTTCTACTATCTCTGAGGTCAAGCAACACCTCTTTCGCACCTTTGAAATGAAAGATCTGGGCCCTTTGAGGTATTTTCTTGGTATTGAGGTCACTTTTTCTCCTAAGGGCTACATTTTATCTCAGGCCAAATATGCCAATGAGGTTATTCATCGAGCTGGTCTTACTGACACTAAGCTTTACCCTCATTGAACTTAATGTAAAGTTCAACACTACTGATGGTATTCCTCTGGATGATCCTACTTTATATTGAGAGCTTGTGGATTGTTTAGTCTATCTGACGGTTACTCGTCTTGATCCTGCTTATGTTGTTCATGTGGTTAGTCAATTTGTTTCTGCTCCTCGTTTTACGCATTGGGTTGTTTTAGTTCGGATTCTTCGCTATCTTCAGGATACTATCTTTTGGGCTTACTGTTGTCTTCTACTTCCTCTTTGGATTTAGTGGCTTATGTTGATTCTGATTGGGCTGTTGATGTCACTGATTGCAAGTCTACATCTGGTTTCTGTATGTTTCTTAGCGATTCATTGATCTCTTGGAAAAGCAAGAAACAAAATGTTGTTGCTCACTCTATTGTCGAAGCTGAGTACCGTGCTATGGCTCGTGCTATTGTTGAGATTGTTTAGCTTCATTGTCTTCTATCTGATTTGGGTATACCTCAGTCTTCTCTGACCTCTCTCTATTGCTACAACTGTAGTGCTATTCAGATTTCCCATAACACTGTCTTCCATGAGCGGAAGAAGCATATTGAGATTGATTGTCATTTTGTCCGACAGCATCGGTAGTCTAGCTCTATTTCCCTTCCTTTCGTCTTTTCGGCTTTGCAACTTGCGGACTTCTTCACTAAGACTCACACTACTACTTGGTTTCAGTTTCTTCTTGGCAAACTCTCAGTATTTTCTGCTAAAACACCTTGAGTTTGAGCGGGGGTGTGAGAATATATTAGGGATTTTATGTATATATGGTAGTATATATATTTTATATGTATTAGGGATTGAAATAATTTGTATTTCCTTTTTTGTTCTAGGGTTAGATTGTTATATAAACCAATGTATTCTTGTATTACCTACACAATTGAATATACGAGTTTATTCAGAAATCTTACAGCAATACCTTATGAAGATAGTTTAGAACTGGATGTACATATGAGTAGTTATAGGTGGCAACAACTGGAAAAGGTGTATGAAAGGTTTTTGAGATGGCCATCTTCAGTGAAAATTAGTACATATACCAGCATGGAGTAATTTGATTAAAGCTGAAAGTATAAAAGGAGATATGGTAGAACAAAAATCATGTGGACCAAGATAGTGAGAGTAGACAACCAAGGATTTTAAAGAGGATATGACTTTCAATAGAACTTGAGTTTTAAGTTTTGATACAAGTCCTATTTCCCTTTTGATTTTGATTTAAAGCTTCATGTGAAATAATTAATGGAAATTGAATTACAATTAAATTCCACACTGCGGGGTTGTTTCAGAAGTCTTAGTTTGCTCTCACTTTTCTTTTGAAAGATATATATGTTAAGGATGTTGCCTCTAGTTGTGTGATTTTAGTTGGTCAAAATATTGTTATATTGGAATAGTTTAAATTTGGTGTTGGTCCATACACATTGTTTCTGATGAATTATAGTCTCTGTGTAATTTTTTGTTTCCATTCTCTCTTTTCCTTCTACCCTTTTTGTTTGCATAAGAGCTTTATTTTGGGTTAGGGGGGCAGAAGGGTGCACCTGCCCTGAGTTTGAAATCGCTTTATCATGTTAAAATTCAATTTTTGGTGTCCCAGTCCCAAACTTGACTGCATGATTATAATCAATATGAGTCACTCATTGAATAAATATTTATTTTATGCTGTTTGAATTTATATTTTTTTCCCGGTCCAAGATTTGAGATCCATTGAGTAGCATGTCTCCTATTTTCACATTTGTGATTAAAAATAGTTGGAGTTTTAGTTCTTAATTCTTTGGCTTTAAGATGTGCTTCAAATGAAAAAAGTGACTATTTTGCTGCATGCTAGGTAAGCATGTATATGAACCTTATTATTTCTTGCATTGACATGGTACAGGAATAATTTACCGGGACCTGAAGCCAGAGAATGTGCTGCTTCAAAAGGATGGGCACATTGTGTTAACTGACTTTGACCTGTCATTTATGACGTCATGTAAACCTCAAGTATGCTACCATCTTCCATTAGAAGATTATTTGCTTTCTTGTATTTAATTAGCTGGATGATGGTACCATTTTTCAATTAGACTTGGAAGCACCCAATGCCTATGGCTTGTTTAAGTGTGATAGCTTAGGTCCCAACCAATGAGATTTGTTTTGGTTTAATCTAGTGTCTTCCATTTTTTACCTTGATTCCAATTAACCCTGTTTTCTCACACTTTCACAACATTATCCCAACTGTTCGGCGTTGGATATGAATCTTGTTTCGCAATTCCATTGATTGGGGTAATGATTTGAGTTAAACTCCATATTGCTATGTCTTTCCTTTCCTCATACCCACAAGCCACATAAATTATGGTCTTCCTCTTCCCTTGGCATTACATTGATGTGGACTGCATGATGTAATTCAAAGAAAAAATTGTGAATCATATTATTATTCCTTATTGTTGCAACTATTTGTCTTCTTTACACACACACACACACCATCCTTGTTGGTTGTTCTTCATTTCATCTCCAATTAATTGCCACTTCTACAATATCAAGCATATGTTTATTTGTAATTTCATTCTTTCTTGTCTTACCACACATCCATCTCAACATTTGCATTGGTCTTCCTTATTTTATGAAATGTTGTTTTGTAGCACCTTAGCATTATGTCTTGTAAAGCATGGTGAAGGTTATGGTTGCTTTACTGAAATTTTCTTTCAGCTTCATAGGATAAGTCAATCACACAACACATGGTAAAAGTTGTTTGCTTAACAATCCTGAATTAATCCTATGAGTGATATCATCTCTAATCTCTCAGACTCCCACTCTATGAATAATCAAAGCCTAGATGACGTAGATACTCATTCTTTCATTCATTACTTGAATTTAGTACTCATTTTATGTCCGCTACTAATACTTGTATATCATGACAAATGCATCATGTCTTCTGAGCCATGCAATAAATGTAGCTTGCTATTTATGTTGTGGGGGAAGTGTTTGTTGGGTAAGGATCAAAATTTATGTTTGATGTGTTTTTTTTTGGTTAGTTTGGAAATGGAAATATTTCATAAATGTTTCAAAAACATAAGGGGAAAGACAAAAAAAAAAAAAAAAGGAAACATATGGAAATGTTTGGAAATAAAAATTAAAATCTACATAAATTTTTGTACATCATAATTTATTAAGTTAGCATGTTTGAGGTTTGCACGTCTTTACATGAAGAGCACAATAAACTATTTGGAAGTAAATTCAGTGCAAACCAGTAGTCATTCAATTAATGTCAAATAAATCAATTTTTGGAAGCGCAAGTTTGTATAATTCTAAATGTGCATAAGGTTCCATCCAAATAAAATTATCAAAAATAATAATATTTACAATATTAATAACAAACAAAGGTCAAAGGTTTCTCAAGGTGTGGGAGGTCCTTTGTCAGAACATGATTTATAGAAAGATTAATAGAAAGGTTCAATGAAGGTCACTGAATGTTAGAAAGTTGTAAACAAAAGGTTTAAAACAGTTAGTTGGAGAAGGGGCTTCATATGAAATGCTAGATTCTAGTTGAAGTACTGATGATAATATTTATAAAAAAATTGTACCTATAATAGTAAAGAAAAATAATAAATAACTTGACTATGTCCATTTTTTTTCTCTCGCTATCTCTCCTCTCCTTTCTAGTTTCTCTGTCTTTTTATTAAATATAAGATTTTTCTTCGTTCTGAAATGTTTTCTTTTAACAAAAAAAGGTAAATAGAAATAATTGCATTAGATATTCCTAATATGTGTCAAAACAACTAATTATTTTGAATTTTTTTGTTCTGTTTTAGTGAGCTTCGTTGTGTTTGGTGAAAACACTGTAATTTTGGTTTTTCACTCATGTTTACTGTAGGTTTACTAGAAAATGGAAAAGTTTCAGCCATTCCATCTGAAACAGAACAAAATTTTGTTCCTTGTTCTTAGGATGCTTTCTTGTTATTCTACAATTAATTATTTTGAATGTTTTAATATTGTACTGCAGATTATAAAGCATCCTTTGCCTAAGAAGAGAAGGTCTAGGAGTCAACCACCACCAATTTTTGTTGCAGAACCTGTTACACAATCAAATTCATTTGTTGGAACTGAAGAATACATTGCTCCGGTATGATGAATCTTCCTTTGGTAGATTTTAACCCATGCACCTTCCAACTCATTAGTTAGTGTTACTTTTCTGAGCAGATTTACTTTACTTGTTGCATTTTGTTTGGGTTTTTATAAGCGGATGTTCACCTATGTAGAGCGTTGCGCTCTTTCTTTATTAGCTATATCTATATGTTAATGTTCTAGAGATGAAAGTTGGAAGAACTATTTGGAAAGGTTGGAGTATTTGATTCTTTTTGGTTTTATATTTTATAACTACAATTTTGTATTACTGGATTGTTGAGTACAAGGTTATCAATTTTGAGCTTTGACCCTGGATTTGTGGGTGGTCTTTAGTGTCCAATGAAAAATTACAAGATCTTACAACATTAGAAAATGCATATAGCAGACGAAAATGCAATCCAAACTCAGCATCAAATAACCTTTGCGACTGATTTGACTTTCAAAATGCAATTTTCCAGCAAGTTGGGTTGTACTAAAACATGTGGATCCTGGCATACAAGAAGAGAATGTAATTGAACATATTTCTTTGCAAGTTTCTTGATCCTGAAAATCTTGTATGCATAGTCTGGATGAAGTTGACTCCCCAGCGATAGAGTGGATGAACCCCCCCCCCCCCCCCCCCCCCGGTTTCTAGTGGGGTTTTTTTTTATGGCCCTTTTGGAAATATTCACCCTTCTCCCGACCGCTTACGTAAAACCATTCTTTCCCATACACAACAGTTCCAAACAATATTCTGTACTGTATAGTCTTCAAATGTGGGTCCTGGTTCTGTTTTGTTAGTAACATTTTATAAATGGGAATTGACCCACCATTTCATACTTTGTTTCACATTTTGACCTTATTTCATGTCAAACCAGTTTTTTATGCTAATGTGCATAAATAGGGGTGTGACCTGGTTCTATTTTGCTGCTAACAAAGGAATGTATCATTCTTGTGGGTAAAATTTTATCTATTAAAAAAAATATTATTTAAGACAGTAAAATTTTAACAATTTGTCAAAATTTATTATTTGATGAAGCAGTACATATCATCTTTTTTTCTCGCAGATGCGAGTAGTGTAGTAAATCCTTATATAGATTTATTCATGATTTAAATTTGCACCTTGATGTTTCTTATTTTTATTTGAGCCACTTTTCATGATTGGTAAGAGGTGGCATACTATCTCAACTGTAATTTGACATATTGGCCTAAGAACAAAAATGTCGCTGATAATAGTTATAGTTAGGATAAACTTCAAATAAGTCCTATTGAAAATAAGTTCTAGTAAAATCGTCGCTAAAAATAATTTTTTGTGACAATTTTTTGCATGTTGCTAAAAATTGACAATCAGTGACTTTTTTTTGTCACGATATTTATGAATTGTCACTAAAATTTACAATTAGTGATGTTTTGTGAAGAAATTTTCAAACTGTCATTGAAAGTTGAAAATTAGTGACTTTTTGTGTCGATTTTTTTAAACTGTTGCTAAAACTTATAATTAGTGACATTTTTGTGGCAATTTTTAAACTGTCGCTGAAAATTAACAATTAGTGACATTTTTTAATAGTGTTTGATGAAAAACACTACTAATTATCATAGGACCTATTAAGCAATAAATCCACCTATTAGGATCTATACGTAATTCTTCCTAAAATTTATATGAACAATACATGCTTCTTCCTATTTCTTCAAAATACTTACATAATGACTTGACTACAGGAGATCATCACAGGTGACGGGCATAGTAGTGCTATTGATTGGTGGGCTCTTGGTAAGCACTTGGTGAATTCATGATGTCATGACTTGTGTTTGTGGTACTTTTATGCGTATGTTTGTGTGATGTGTTCATGTTATTGTTTGTTTATTTATTTGGGGTGGTTTGACTCTGAATTTAATGATACGTGTTGCTACTATTGAAAAATAAACTTATTTTCATTATAATTTGAGAGTTACGTTTTTCCTACATTTAGTTCATGCATGTAGTGGTGTGATAAATTTGCAAGTAGGGGAGGAGTGGTATGTGTTTGGAAATCGTCTCTTTCTATTCCTATACATTAATTCTAACAGTTCATGTTATTGTTTGTTTATTTATTTGGGGTGGTTTAACTGTGAATTTAATGATACGTGTTGCTACTATTGAAAAATAAACTTATTTTCATTATAATTTGAGAGTTACGTTTTTCCTACATTTAGTTCATGCATGTAGTGGTGTGATAAATTTGCAAGTAGGGGAGGAGTGGTATGTGTTTGGAAATCGTCTCTTTCTAACCAAGATCAGTAAGATACAAAATAGCAAACAAGAAAGATAAAACGAATAGAAGAAATCACACACATACAAGAATACAAAGATTTGCGTAATTCATTCCATAATAGGACTACATCCAAGGCTACTACGATTTTCATTGTGATCATAAAACGATACAACTCTCTACCATACAAGAGGCGCCCCCTTCATCTATTTATAATTATAGAATTAGGGGAGTGCAAAAGCAAATAGAAAATTACCAAAGTACCCAAAAAACATACCCCATAGTGTTTTTCTGTTATCCAAATTAATTTTGAACTATATATATAGCCTTATAATCTAGCCATTTAAAGTATGAGCGAATGAAAGAGTTATAGTTTCCCTCTAATTATCTTCCTAATTGTTTCAATAAAGTGAAGTATAGCTCTTCTTCCTCCAACAACAACTCACGACAGATGTGGTCTTGTCAATGATTTTATATTATCAATCTAATTTAGCTTATCAATTGATGATAACTCTCATGGTAGAATGCTTTCAAAATTTTGCTAATATAACAATAATAAGGTGTTAGAGCTAACACGAATCACAATAGTGGTCATGTTGTAATAGTTGTAGCACTGGAATGGTGAACTGGTTTGTAGTTGCAGTGAAAACAGAGCGTGGTGGCTTGTATAATCTCTTGAATGATGAAGTAATGATGTTCCGTAGATTTGAATCTTAATTGTTGTCATAATGTGTCGCAATTCTTAATGTTAACTTTGTGTTCATTAACATGTTGGCTTGATGGCTTGTATAATCTCTTAAATGACAAGGTAAAGGTAATGATTTTCCGAAGTGTTAATCTTAACCAGTGTCACAATGTGTTGCATGTGTTGCAATTCTTAATGTTAACTCTATGTTCATCAACACGCATGTGTATGGTTTACCTTCTCAATCATTTCCTAAAATATTGAATTCATAAACCTATCTTGGGAAGATATGTGTGTCCCACTTGTGGAATTATATACAAAGAATATTTTGAGCAAGTAAAACAATTTTTTTTGGTGCAAAAATTGAGCATGTTATTCACTTCATTTATTATTATTATTTTTTTAAAGATAGAAGGCTTCTGCTGTTCACGTAGTTTTTATTTGTTCTGAGTTGATACTCATTTTTTTGTTTGGAATTTAGGTATTTTTCTGTATGAGATGCTTTATGGCCGTACGCCTTTCAGGGGGAAAAATAGACAAAAGACATTCGCCAACATCTTGCACAAGGACCTCACCTTTCCAAGTAGCATTCCGGTGACGTCACATAACTTATTCTTACATTCCAGTTTAACTATATCATATTTATTGCTGCTGATCTTTTGGGTGGGTAATTTGGAATGTATCCATCATCAGCTGGAGCGTCAATTAAAGATGACATGTTTGGAGCCAGTTTTACTTGCCATCTTATAATACTTGAAACGATGTTTATACAGTTACATAAGAGGTCTTTGCAGCCTAAACCATTGTTGCTGAGGGAGCACGAATCTTATTTAAATGTTATTTAAATAAGATTCAAGTAAATATTTTAGAGTGTAGAAGGTTCAAGTAAATATTATTTAAATTGGTGGCCCATAATTGAATCTTTTAAGAAGTTAAAATTTCACCACTATAGTTAGATATATTAATTGAACCTTTCTCTTGTGGTGTTTAATAGTTTAATACTACTAATGCATCCTGGAAATGGCAAGGATTAGCATCTCCTAATTGTGATCAATTTTAAAAGGGATGTCTTTTGCATGAAACCTGTACCAGAGCTTTTATTAAGTTGAATTTGTAGTTACTAATATTTTGTGGATATTGCAGGTAAGTCTTGCAGGCAGGCAATTGATTCATGCATTGTTAAATAGAGACCCTGTCAGCCGTTTAGGATCAAGCAGTGGTGCCAATGACATAAAACAACATCCTTTTTTCCGTGGAATTAATTGGCCTCTGATCCGCTGCATGGTAATAACTGTTCAAGGAAAACACTTTTACCTATGCGTGTTATTATGCACTATAGAGCTGAGTTCTACTGTCTAGGCGTACACTTGAATCCTCTTATTTAACCTTGGTCTTAGAAACATTGAGTGGTTTACGACTCTTTGCGAGGATTTTGATAAAATGGTATTTCCAAAGAATGCATCAAAGAAAATAAGATATGCAGTTGCGTCATGTTTGTCTTTTTTATGCAGAGTCCACCACCATTAGATGTCCCTCTTCAATTAATTGGAAAAGATCCCAAGGCAAAAGATTTACTGTGGGAGGATGAGGGAGTGCCTGGTCATTCCATGGAATTTTTCTGAAGGTTTGCATTCATTAGTTTAATTTAATCATTCATTACTTTTATCAAGATGGATCAAACTTACATCTAATTGCTGGCTATTTGAATTATTTTCCCACCATTACTGCAAACGTCTGCTAAGTTCTTGCAACTGATTGTATTGTTGATATGGTTATAGCAATTGATTTTTGCTTGTGGATCTTTCATGGTGAACCAAGAGTAGTTGTTTTTTCTGACATAAGTACCAAGTTATATTTTACCAGAACAGTCTCTTTTTTCGTTTATAATTCTTCTTTAGTTTTAAACTATTGATGTTGCAGGCAGGCTATCTGTGTGCCGTGTAAGTGTAAGCGAGAGTACACATCTGTATAGATGGACCACACCTGGGTCATGCGCTTTACTCAAAATGCAGTGCTTGTGTGATTAGCAGGAAGGAAGGAATTTCAGATTGTACATGACAGAATGGGGTCAATAGCAATTTTTGCCTTTTTGTTTTTATCCTGTTGTTTGGAGATTTTTGAGCTATAGGCCTTATTAGCTGTTAAACTTCTCTTTGATTAAGCTATCAGATGACTTTTCTTAGCATGTTATTTTAGTTTCCCTTAGCTGCTGATGATGGTATGTAATTGGTGAATACCATGATGGGGTGTCCTCCTGTCTCCCCAATCTTTGTGGTGAAATGGTATTCTGACTGCGTTGTATTTTATGGCTATGATACAAAGGAGGAATTATTTGGTGCAGTTAAATAAGCCGTGGCTGGGCTGTCCTTTGCATAAACTATATGATAAATCACCCACCAAATTGATTCTAAAGGAACTTTTTTAACACTTTTTTGTAAAAACTAAAATTGTATTTTTTTAGTTTATTAGCGCCTACGTATTGATTTCATCTTGTGATGTATATGCCATGCCAAACTTTCTTTATTTTGGGCCTGTGCCTTGATTTCTATATTAAAAGCCATTGACATCAGCTTAATAATTGCGTATTAAAGCTATTGTAATAATGGTGGGCTCAGCTTAATTATGTTGAAGACATTATTTTGAAAAATATTCATAATTGTAGAAAAGATAAATAAAAAATTAAGTAATTATCAATTTAGTAAGAAATTTGAAGAAGAATACAAAATTAGTGGTGATGTGATGCACGCATCCACCCAGCACAAATCAACAATGGCAAGTTATGCATCAAAATCACATGTGAAAAAAGAAGATAAATAAATAAAATCAACCGCCCACATTATAGAAAGTAAATTCTATCTTTCTTTCTTTATATATATATATATATATATATACATAAGAAGAAGAACGGAAAGGTGATAACTTTATGAGTAATTTTTCTCTGGAGAATGTTAATCACTTCCCTACAAATTACAAGAACCCATCTTTGGGTCTTTGGTGAGAACCTAAATTGAGGAGAACTAACTAGCAATTAATTAGGTGAATGTGTGCGGGTGCAAGTAGTGTACATACTGGGGTGTATATTCAGGTGGTAGAGAGAGTAGTATGTACATTGATCCTATGAGGAAGGGTGCATTTTGCAGGGCACAGCATTATCGTCCTGGGTAGAGCGCAGGAGGAGTAAAGACCTGCAGAGAGGGCAGGTGAAGTTATTCCGGTATAGCCAACTCTCGATGCAACCCATGTGGAATATGTGCCCGCACCTGGGGAGTTGGCTCACCACGTCTTCCCTCTCGAATTCCATCAAGCAAACCGAGCACATTTCCCCCTCTTCATCATCATCATCAACTCTCTTCTTGCTCTTGCTCTTGCTATTGCTATTGCTATTGCTGCTCAAGTCCAAATCTTCAAACCTAGATGCCGGAAGATCTGCCCAGCACATTCCTTCTTCTTGGTATGCAACATCAGCATGAGATGCGCAAAATACGATGCCAATGATCATGTGGACAACCTTTTTTATTTCAAGGAATGGAATCCATATACAAGTATAGAAGAAGATAATGATAACAGTGCAGACACCGCATTGAGGGTATACCAGACAATTCATTTTTTTGCTTCTCTCTCTCACTCTCTAGAGTTTATATAGGGACTGAAGTTGCAGAGTCAACTGCTATATGTTGCCTTTGGCCAAATATCTTATTATTAGTTTCTCTAATATTACTAGCTAACCTTTGACTTTTGAAGGTTCATAGACTTTTATATATGTATATTCTATTAAGTAAAGGGGAAAAGAAAAAAAAAAAAAGAGGAGAGGGAAGAGAGAGATTATTTTAAACATTTTTTAATTAATAAATTAAGAGATTATTTTAAGGTTGGAACCTCATATAGGTGGCGGGGTTTTCTAAAATTTAAAGGAACTTGTCAAACTTTGAAATCAGACCGGAAGCATTAGGGCTGAGTAAGGAATCCGTAAAATTCGTAATCTGATCCAGTTCAGTCCAATCCGATAGGTTTGGATTGATTTTTTAAATCCGCGGTTCGGTTCCGGATTGAAGAATTAAAAATCCGTAGTACACGGATTGGTTCTGGATTGAACCCTATGATTCCGGATTGGAACCGATCCGGACCGTATACAAATAGTATATATTTTTATTATACATTCTCTCCCATAGTATCTTCTCTTATTTTATATAAAATCTAAACTTAAACCTAAAACCGTATAATATCTTCTTTTATTATTTTTGTTTGTTAGTTTTTAGTTTTAATTTGTAATAGTTTAAATACTTATGGTGAAACTAGTTTTCTTATGGTTGTTTAAATTCTAGAACAATATGTCGCTATTATAGAAATAGATGTTGCTATTGTGGAACTAATATAGCGCTATGCTTATATTTTTATGAAATTAAAGTGTTATATATATATTTTTGTTATTTAATTATGTGAATCCGTGGTCCTAAACCGATCCAATCCGTATTTAAATGGATTGGTTTGGATTGGTTCCATGATTTAAACGGATTGAATTGGTTCCAATTTTTCAGGAACTGTAAATAACGGATTGGTCCTGATTTTACCCCAATCCGGTCCAATCCGGACCATGTTCACCCCTAGGAAGCATGGCCGGCACCGTCCCACCCCCTCCGAGTCTTCTCTTCCTTCAGTATGGTTGTGTGGAGAGATTGGGAAAGGGATTGGACTTCTATGTCAATTGAATTATAGAGTTTATTCTTTAATTATAAATTAATGGGTCGGATTAGAATTCTTCTGGTGTCTTATCAAAAATATGTTTTAATAAAATTATCGTTAAAAATAATTTTTTCTGTCAATTTTTTACATTTTATTAAAAGTTAAAAATTAGTGATTTTTTTGTCACGATTTTTATAAATTGTCAACTAAACTTACAATTAGTGACGTTTTTCTATAATAAAATTTTCAAAATATCACTAAAAATTGAAAATTAGTGACTTTTTGTGACTTTTTTTAAATTGTCACTAAAATTTATAATTAATAACATTTTTTGTAACATTTTTAAACCGTCGCTGAAAATTAATAATTAATGATGTTTTTTAATAGTATTTGATGAAAAATGATATTAATTATCATAGTACCTATTGAATAATAAATTCACTTATTAGGACCGACACGTAAGTGTAGCGACCCTAATTTTCTTAAGTCATTTATTTATTATTATGATTATTATTATCTTATTTTATTTTTGACTTTATTAATTGTGTGGTCACAGGAGAATTTAATGTGATATTTAATGAATTTAATGTGTTATTTAATTATATATAATATATATATAATTAATCCAAATATTTATATATTTATATTTGTTATATTAAAAAAAAAAGAGGTGTTATATATATATATATATATATTATCTTATATTTATATTTATATATATTATAATTATGTTGTATTATATAATATAATATTATATAGTAGTTTATTAGGTTAATATATGTATAATATAATATAATATAATATAATAGTCAAATTAGATTAGAATAGGGATTAGGTTTAGCCTCTATTTGGGGAGTGGGTTGGCTTTTTTGACTATTTTAGTCTGGGCTAAAAAGTTTGGTTTGGGGAAGGACTTTTTGACTTTTTTGACTTTTTTTTGTGAGAGAAGAGTGTAAAGATTATGGGTTAGATGCAATGTTTTGTTTATTGTGACTAAAATAACATATTTTGTCTTTTGTGACTATTTTAGCCACAAATCAACTTGCCAAACAACACCATAGAAGTTAGAAGAAAGAAAGAAAAAAAAATAAAATAAGGAAGCGAGGTGTTGTGTGCGGCTGTGCAAGCCGTGTGAGAGAGAGAGAGAGAGAGAGAGAGATATTAATCAACCAAGAGTGATCAATATTTGAGGAAGCAGAAAGAGAATCCATGGGAAGAGGAAAGGAGGAAAAAAAAAAAAGAATAGGCTTTTATTTTGGTGACTCCATTAATTTTTCAAATAATTCTTTAGTCTTCAAAAAAATATAGTGAGTACAAATTCCACTTTCCTTAATTTATGTTTAATTCGTTGTTTTTATTTATTTATTTTTATTTATTTGATGTTAGTTTGATTATGTTTTTACATAAAGATGATAGATTGATTTTAATTATTTTGATTAGTTGTGTATGTAAGGTTTATGATTTTTAGATGTTTGATGGATTTTAATTATTTTGATTAGTTGTGTATGCCAGGTTTAGGATTTTTATATGGATTTATTTTATGGTTGTAATCACCCTCATGGATATATGAAATTAAAATAAATTAGAAACCTATAGATAAATTTCTTACACTCCACCATGACTCCATGGACTGTTGTTTTATTTGAGTGTTGGTAGTGTATAAAAAAAAAGTGAGGATTATGAGATTTATTTGAATGCCTTAGGCTTGGCATTGTTATGTTGTTCTCATGAGTGAGATGTTTTATATATGTATATTGTTGTCTCGTTTTCATGAGTAGACGAGTGCTTTGATTTACGCGCGTACGTATATGCTAACCATCCGAGTGTAGGTCAAACTCGAGACGATATCCCCGTGCAAGTTTGGCTTCGAAGTCGTGTTAGGTATACGAGAGGCACATGGGATATATGTGTAGGCTGGAACTGGAGGCTGAAGCGGTGGAGTTAAGGTACAAAGAATTTAATTACGAGTTTATGGTTATAGTGTGAATTGTATTAATTTGTACATCTTGAAAAATAGTAAACGATCTCGATAAATTATGAAATTTGAGCAGAGACATGTATACTTGATTCTAGACAACTTTTGTGTTTTAGCTTGTTATTAAAAAGATCGATTAGAACTTATAATCAGATGATCTTGGTTATTGTCAGTTTGATTCATTTTAGCAATGAAGATTTTAGAGGCTGTTTTAACCACGAAACGAGCTCATTTTTATTGATTTCGCGAAAACTGAAGTAAAACATTATTCTGTACATTTTTCGTGTTTTGAACTTTTTCGAAAAAAATCATCTTAGGGTAGTTTTTGTTCGTTTTCAGCTTCAGATTTTTCGATGGAATTCCATTTAGGTTTTGCTTTCAAGCTTTTCTCTCAACCTGTTCAGTTTCTGTTAAATTCGTTCGCACTGTCTTTAGGAAATTTGATTATGTACAACTTTCTTTCTTTGAGTTTTGGTTAATTCGAATTATTTAAGCATGAAACGGTGTATTTTTATACTTCTGTAGCAAGTTATTTATGATTAAATTATACTAACTTTTTTTTATGCAGGGTTGACCTACCATATTTTTATTTCTATTTTGTTTACTTTATAATCAATTTATATTTCGTTTGTACGGGCAAGAAACTAAATGCCACCGTATCTCGAGAAACTACTCATTCATTTCGGTGTGGATGGAACTACTTGTCTTGTTTCGTAACAAGAATTTAATGTATTTTTGTTTGTGTCTGGTGGACATGTGGGAGTTATATTTTGTATTCATACCAATATACCTATATATTGACCTGTTTTGTCTTTTGGCAACTCGAGTGCGTTCTGTTTGAGCGCAGTCAAGCTTCCTTTGCAGGATTAGTTGGGGGCTACGGTGGTGACGTGAAATTACTTTAGTGTTAGACTTGTCGTTTGGACCTCTTTTGTTTTCTTGAGCTTAGAGTTGATATTAGTTTATGTATTTATTATTTTTTTTAATGACTTTAGTATTGGAATAATTTGGCATGATTTGTAACCGTATATTATTTAAGTTGTTTTGACTGGTTGTTGCTACCTGAATGTTGAGGTGTTGGTTAGTTATGAAATTATGATGGATGGTTTGGTTGGCGTTTAGTTTTTTTTTTATTTTTTTTATTTTTTTTATTTCACCCCTAAGATTTGGATGATGGAATATTCTTGGGGTTAGTCTTAATTTAATATTTAATTGTCCGAATTTTGGGGCGTGACAGTAAGTCTTCCAAATTATCCCATGAAATTAAATGGTAAAATGGCATATTTGCCCTCCAAGTATTTAACTTAATCATGTATTATATTTAGTAAAATTAAATAAAATTTAAATGTCTCAATTTAAAAATAAAATAATTTTATTTAATTTTTATTGATACATTATTTATTTAATTTTTTTAAAATAGATTTTTATAAATGTTTTATTGATATTTTATTTAATCATTATTACTTTTTAAAATAAATTTATGAAAATTTTTATTTTAAAAAATAAAATAAATTTTTGTTGATATTTTATTTATTTAATTTAAAAAAAAAATAAAATTTTATTTAACCTAGCCAAAAAGAATTAAAATATTAAAGACAAGTTTAATATATTACTATTACTTAGTAAATAATTGAAAAGGATAAAATGGCTTTTTAAGCATTTATCATAAGTGATTCTACTTATACTATTACTTTATCTTTTTACACCCTCTATATGAGATTTTTTTTCCAATTTTACCTATGTGTGAAACTACCTTTAAGGATAAAATACAAAAATTAAATATATTTTGTTATCTCCTTATACCCCCTTAGTCTATAATTCCTACTCCTCTTCTTCCTTTCTCAATTTTTCTTTTTTCTTACACATTTCTTTTCAAAAAGTGAGAATTATGGTGTGTTGATAATAGAACAAAGCAATAGATGAAAAAACGGTGGTGAAGAACCATAAAAACTGTGAAATTGTGAGTTTTTTTATTTATTTATTTGGTAGGTTTTTTGTTTCATTTTTCTGGATTGTTCTTTGACTTTTGTTCGGTGTTTCAAAATCGAACAAAATAAAATCATCGGGCATTATATTGCCGAACAAAAAATATGTATGGTAACCAACTACCAAATACAAGATACATTTTCGGTAATCCAATGTCAACTGCTTTTAATTTGTTCGACTACTCATTGTCGTGTATTTCCAATTTTATTTTTTTTATATTTTTTATTTTTCTACTCATTGCAATAATGCAAATACTATATTATTAGTGAACTCCAGTCATGAATTCATTACAGACGAGATTTGTTAAGTTTTTTTATGAATACAAATTTTTTTTATTTTAAATTTGTATTGAGTTTTATTAATAATTTAAAGTATAAATGTATGTATTATTTTTATATTTTTAATAGTCGTCAAGCATTAATTAAAATTGTTTTTAAAAAAAATTAACTAAATGGGCTTTTGACATTGGGAAGAAGATTGGATTTATCATTGTTATAAAAACATCAGATGACAAATAATTAGATTTGTTTTTATCACCCGCATGCTAGTGGATGGAAGAAAGCATATACTATCCATATTCATCAATTTCGTATCTTGTTAGCCTTGGTGTAGTAGCTACCGAAACTATCGATATAGACAAATTATGATAACATGTTTAATTGATGGATGCAAACAATAACAGATTTTATGGATGTTTGTACACTTGATATTTTTATGAATATTTTTTATGTATGATTTTATGGATGTGTGTTTGATTTATGGATGTTTCAAAGAAAAAGTAAATCTTTCAACGTACAGCGACAGGTGACTAGATAACATGTTTAATTGATGGATTCAAACAATGACATATTTTATGGATGCATTATGGATGTTCGTACACTTGATATTTTTATGAATACTTTTTATGTATGATTTTATGGATACGTGTTTGATTTATGGATGCTTGAAAGAAAAGGTAAATCTTTTAACGTACAGTGACAGGTGACTAGACAAATCTATTATAGTTTAGCAATATGACACTAGAGTAATCTAATTTGTATAGCAATGTATCATTGAACAGGCATTTCACAAGTGGCCCCAAATTGATTTCTTATTATCATCCAATCGAATGGCAACATATTGCTAGGAAAAAAAAGTTTGTCCGGTAATGTGGCTGGATGATTGACCTTACTAATGTCACGCACACAATTTATTAGCCTCTATAGTAAGGTGGTTGAGTAAAAGCCATGGGATATTTTTGAAAATTTAATAATACCACTGTATGGCATACTTCTTATAACTGTGATGTTAATAATATATTTGTAATGAGTTTAATCAAATTAAATTTATTTATTTATTTATTTATTATTTTTTTGGGTATCTGTTAAATAATATTCTTAATTTGTTTGTGGGTTCGGGTATTGACTCGAGTTGAGTTGGTATGAATTTACAAATCCTTTGAATTGTGTAGTTTTATAATAGTTCTAGTGTTGTGAACCAATCTATTTAAATTGATAAAAACAAATTACATTACGTCTCGATTTCAACTTCGTAAGGCCCGTTTGGCAAAATTTTAAAATTTTTATTTTTTGTTTTAATTATTCTTGCATCTTGAGTATTGAATGATATATAATTTTAGATTGCGTTTGGTAGAGTTTTGTAAATATGATTTGAAAGTATGAGTTGTATTTTGAGTTTGTGAGTTATGGAATTATGATTTGAGTGTAGAAAATTTGTTTGGTTATAGTTTTTGAATAGAGTGTTGAATTGAGTTTTTAAAGTTTGATCTGACATGTAAAGTAATAAAATTTGTTTGGTTATGAGTTTTGGAAAGAGTTTTCAAAACTTAATTCAAATTATTATAACTCAAAACAAAACATACTACTTTCACACTATTGAAAATTCTGATCAACACTAATAACCAAACTCTTTTTAGAATTCTATTAAAAAAAATTATTGTTAATAGAAAATAACATTAATCAATTTTTTAATTGAAAATACTACAGAGGAAATAAATTTTTTTCAAAATAAATACTCAAAAAATTAAAATCATAAATATTTAAATAATTTAAATAATCTAAAAAATTTAAAAAGTAAAAAATTAAAATAAATATTCAAAAAATTTAAATCGTAAAAATTTAAATAATTTAAATATTCAAAAATTTTAAATAATTTCAAATATTAATATTTTAAATTTAAAAACAACTCTACACTCAAATCGTAACCAAACACATAAAACAAAAGTCAATTATGAAATTATTTTTAAAACGCATAACCAAACGCATAACTCGAAACTCCATACGACTTTCACAACTCTACAGAGAGGTGAAAAAAGACATTAGGGGTTATTTCGGAATTGATTATTTTAATTGATTTTCTTATGTTTTAAGAAAAGATGTGTAAAAAGTAAAGAAAGTGATGTGATTGGATGTTTTGACATTTTGACTATTTTTATCAAAACCCTCATGCCAAACAAACTCTAAATATTAGAATTTTGATCAATCATGTCGAGATTTCTATTTGATTGCATAAGATTATATTATATGATTAAAATTTTAAAAACTAACAGTCTATACCTACCAAATTATTTAAGTTTATTAAATATATATATATATATATATATCAACCATTTGTGAAGTTAAAATAAAAATTTATTGACGTAGATTTTTTAATAAATTTTTTTTATCACTCTTCATCAGCAATACCTCCACCGTCAAAATGCTTTTTTGGTTTAAATCATCAAGCCTCTTTGATTTAAAAATTACTTTGAAAACTTCATTTATTAATACATTATTTTTATCCTTTCTTTTTTACGTGGGACAAAGTTTCACCAAGATAAATAAAGAAATATAAATTAAAGTTTTGAAAATTTGAAAATAACTTCAAATTTTCTAAAATAATTCAATAAAATTGGCCACTGAACGACACCAGTTTGGAAAAATATTAATATGATGTATTCAAAGTTCATGTCCAAGCTATATATTTGTTATTATATCATTTATTTCAAATATATGGGTTGCCATCCCACATCGATTGCGGATAATATTCTCAATTATCTTGTTTCAAATATGTGTTTCCATCCCACATCGATTCTAGATAATATTTAGAATAGACTTATAAGATAGTGTTGGACACTTCCATTGTGGAGGCGTCCTTGGAAAATCAAAGGAATAAATCCATGCAGCTTGCCAGCTATCATACTTAGGCCAAAGCGGACAATACTTCAGGTGTTGGCTGGGCTATGTGTTGTCCATGCCTCAAGATGGTAGTTGGGCTATGTGTTCGACATGAACGGACGACTACAAATAATGTACAAGATAGTCCACAATACCTCCTTCATTATAGAAGCGCCTTTTTACTAAAAGAGATAGCCCACATAATCAAATTCTCAATAAATTTTCTGACCCTTTTTTCTTTTTGGGACAAATAGATTTACTAGTCCGGTTATCAATAGATTCAATAATGAGAATCGACCATGATTAGATCGGGATAGAAAAACACAACCATAGAGCTGGCAAATCTGAATGCCCAATAATATTTCATGTATCTCAAGGCACACGGTCTTCTCTAAATGCAAGCATCATAATCAAACATTCAAGTTTTTCAATAAAATACTTTCACACATAAAACTAATCCCTACTTTATAACAATTTGTTGGAAATGGTTGAAAAATTCTGGGTAAAAACAGAATATTTTGCTAACTTTAGTCTATTATTTAGGTGGGACCCACGCGTCTATTTTGGCGGTCTAAGCGGTAACGCGTTCTATGCCGCGTTGTGATTCACGTGGTATATTTGGTTGCTCAAAACCATTATCGGGTGAATGGAAAAGTGAAGCCAAAGTGAGCTCCATGGAAATGGAGTTTTGGTGGAAATTCCTTAAGGTTGGAAAATGGCTTGTCCCACATTGATTTGGTGGGATGTTTTGAGTGGGTTTATAAGGCATGGGATTGGACCATGGGGTATGCCCCAAGTAGTGCCCAAGTTTTGTAGAGAGGGAGGTAATGGGCAAAATGGGCTTGACCCATTGGATCCAAAAATCACCACACGGGCTTGACCCATTGTCTCAAATCATTTCTTTGAATACGGTCAAACTTATCGTATGACAAATAAATAATTTGAAATATGTGGAGGGAAAAATAGGGACATAAGATCTTGTGTGGCTAGATGATTGGCCATACTAATGTCATGCACAGAATCTATTAGCCTCTACAGTAAGGTGGTTGAGTAAAAGCCATGGGATATTTTTGAAAATTTAATAATACCATTGTATAGCATACTTCTTATAACTGTGATGTTAATAATATATTTGTAACGAGTTGAATCAAATTAAATTTATTTATTTATTTATTATTTTTTTGGGTATCTGTTAAATAATATTCTTAATTTGTTTGTGGGTTCGGGCATTGACTCAAGTTGAGTTGGTATGAATTTACAAATCCTTTGAATTGTGTAGTTTTATAATAGTTCTAGTGTCGTAAACCATTCTATTTAAATTGATAAAAACAAATTATATTACGTCTCGATTTCAAATTCGTAAGGCCCGTTTGCCAAATTTTTTAATTTTTATTTTTAATTTTTTGTTTTAATTATTCTTAGATCTTGAGTATTGAATGATATATAATTTTAGGTTGCGTTTGGTAGAGTTTTGTAAATATGATTTGAAAGTATGAGTTGTATTTTGAGTTTGTGAGTTATAAAAAAAATAACTTGTTTAGCATTTACCAAACACATCAACGTTTTAGCAACAACTTCATCCTAAACAGCATAAAAGCAAAAATTACTAAAAAAGGCCATTGCCAAACCAGACCTGAGTGTGACATGAAGTAGAGGGCTACTTCATGTTCAACCTATAAAATATGTTAAAACAGAGTTCAATGCACCATCCAGATGCTACTTGAGCATCGATACTTCAACAATAAAGGTGGAAAAAGAATTAAAATTTTCCTTCACAACTATTATTGGCAATAGAAAGAAAGTTTCCGGCAGATAATACTACTTAGGGGCAGATCTCCATATAATGGAAAGGACTTTCTAGATGGCGAACCTTATATGCATTTTTGGGACCAACTCCACCATCTACTTCGACCCATGGGTTCACCCCCTGCAAAAAGAAAAACAAAAACAAAAACAAAAAAGACAATGTTATTGTTTTCATTTTATTGTAAGGACTGCACAAGAAATAAGAATGCAATACCTTCTCTGCACACATTTTTCTTAAATCTGAGATTTTCTTAACTTGGCTCTCAATAAAGCTCTGCCCACCAAATCCAGGGTTCACCGACATGATCAAGACCAGATCAACCACTGTTAACAAGAAAAGAATATCATTCCAACAATTCCATTCCATTTGACCACATGAACCTAAATGATGACACTAATATCTTCTCCACTGAAAAAGTACGCTTGCTACATTATATTACAAAGATGGTGTCTCTCGATTTACATAAGAACGAAGTTCGTGTTAGTGGAATCTACATTAGAAAACATTCCAATTACACACATATTTCACTCTGCTACACTAATGGCTGCTCGAATCCCAATCTCTTTAGTTATCTGAATCAATTTGCCATTACACTTTCATATTCAGTGACGCAAAGTACCCATGATCACCTCTTTTCTTTTCCCTTCTTTTTTCTTAAATATGTATATAAGTCTATTCATATTCCATCAACTGAGGCTATATATGAATCCACACCTGATCAATAAAAAAGGAAAACTGTCCTTCTCTGAGAATTGTCTTTGAAAACTTTAGCATTACACGAATACTAAAAGGTTGGTAAGAAACAGATTTTACCATCAAGAACATATTCTATTGCAGTTAGTGGGGTAGCTGGGTTTAAGACAACTCCAGCTTTGGCTCCCAGACTTTTTATCTGAATCACAAGAAAAGACAAGAATCGTCAAAGGAAATTACTAGTAGCAAAAAAATACGGAAAGCAATCTCCAATTAGAATTAAATGGGAAAATAAGTATATCAAAGCTGAAAGGGAGGAAAAAAAAAAAAAAAAAAAAAAACTAAACACATATTTCTCCAGCACCTTAACACTGTGGCAGTATAACAAAAGGCATCAGAACTATCTTACAGAATATGCAATCAGAAGTTCAGAGAGGAAAACTTACTTGATTAACTGTGCGATGCAGATGGATGGTGGAAGATTGCTCACAATGGACACTGACTATGTCAGCTCCTGCCTTCACAAAATCAGGCACTCGCTGGTCTGGTTCAACAATCATCTGCAATGATTTTATTCACATTAGCAAAAATATTGTCAATCAACACATACCTGAAAAAGAATTAATTAGGGCATGAAAATTGAAGAATACCAAATGTACATCCAATGGAAGGTCTGTTACAGGGCGCAATGCATCAACAATAAGAGGCCCAATTGTTATATTTGGAACAAAGCGACCATCCATTACATCAACATGAATCCAGTCACAACCTGCCAGCTCCACTGCTTTTACCTAGATATATATAAGGGTCAAACTCTAGCACCCACGAAGGATCAACCTACGTCTCAAAGTATTAATGTCTGAGGAAATACAGATACAGAATTAAAATATGACCGGCAGAAAACTCAGACAAACATGTCACTAGCAGAATCACTAACTTTAAGCATTGAACATGCTGAGGACTTTAGCAAGTGCTATGGATTTTAGCACGTTCAAAATGCCTAAAGAAAAAAAAGGACAAACTTTTTTTGGGTGAATAAAAAGCACAAACTTGTACAATAAAATACAGCAGAATGAACATGTTGAATTGAATATGATAATCACACTACTAGCGCTAAATCCTGAGTCAGCATTTAGAGCAGCACAGATCAAAAATACAAAATATAACCTGCTCTCCCAACTTTGCAAAATTTGCAGAGAGAATTGATGGAGAAACAATGATGTCACTTTTTGAGAATTTGTCCACACGAGCAGATGCCTTCACTATAGCTCGAAACTTTCTCCTGGATTCATACATAAAAAATAAACCAAAACATATCAGAAATGGAGTGCAAGATCCCATGAAAGTTCTTAAGGCAAACTAACTAGCAACATGCAGAGAAATAACCTCCCATTCTTTGGTAGCATAAACATACAAAACCAAGCATAAATTGAAATAAGGAAAATGATGACACCATTGATCACATTATGTTACTATTTCACATGGAAAAATATAACTAAGAAAAAAAAAGTAGATCTCCTACTTGCTAAATCAAATGGTAACTAAAGCCTCAAATAGAACCATATCTCAATATTTGAGGAGCATAACTGTTCACGGTAATTAGATGGAATCACGTTATTAACGAATTGGAAAGATGTAGAAGAATTTATTCTCCCATAGAAAAGGATAAAGAAATTAAAAACACATCATTGCATATGTGACTAGACATAGAGCCAAACATAACACTGCCAAGTCTAAAAAATGTGAAGGGTCAAAGAAAGGGTAAGATAGTGAAGTTTGTGTATACGCTCCTAACAAGGTACTTGTGTAAAATACAAACACCCATCCACCCTCAAAAACACATTTATTTTTCCTCAGAGAACGAAGATCATGGAGAGTCCTCCTGAACATAGCTTAGTATTTTAAACTTAAAGAGCAGAAACTTGATTCTTTGAAAATTGAGAATGAACCTAAAGAAATGGAAGGAACAACTAATTTCTATCATGTAAACACCAAGAATTGTTTAATCACATCTTTAATGGTAATATTTCATGAGAAATACTCGAACGCAGATAAAGCAAATTTTGCTGCACATATATACAGGCATATTGATTTGTCTGAGAATTTTGGAGATTAAATGGATAAATTAGAGCAACTTTTTGAGCTTTAGAGAATCATTTCAATAAAATTCCTCAACGCTGATTGAAGTTGGGTAACTGTTCACTGAAAATTTAAAAAACATTGTTCAGATATAATTATGACTCAAGCCAGTACATTGAAGTTCAGTTTAGCATATTCACAAACACTGAATGAGCAAAACTCAAAAAAAAACATTCATCCATTTGTACACAAACATGTCAAACAAGTAAGAGGTTAACACACTCCCTGGACTTAACTGCTTTCAAGTCCAAAGCTTTCTAGTTCAAATTTCCTAAAATTCAGTGCATTAATTTAACTATTTGAGTGTTTAACACTTTATAAGAACAAACGCATCAATACCCAAAAACAGAGTTTCCTCCTTTGATTATTACCTACTGCAATTAATCAACTACATAATTCAAGCAATTCAACACAAGTCAAAAGAACCCATTTGGTTTTTCTACTGGGTTTCTCAAACCAGAACATAATCAGTTAGAAATACGAAGATATTAATCAAATGGACAAAAACCCAATATGGTACCTGGTAAAGGTGATAGAATTGGGATGAGAGAGAGATTGCTTTTGAAGCGCACCAAACCCCTTAATCTGGGACTGGACAAGAGTTGACGAACCCAACGAAGCTGTTGCCATTCTCTCTCTCTCTCTCTCTCTCTCTCAATTATGAGAAAAAAGTTTGGTGACTTTGATTTCTTTCTCTACCGCTGACCAATCTTTGGCAAAAAAAAGAAAAGACTGATAAAAATTCTGAAGGAAATAGAGAACAAATTAAGAGGTTGACACGTGTCAGGTTGTGGGGATGTTTTGCTTATCTGCAATGGTTGGCCTCTATGTATTCATAGGGATGTGCAAAAACATACACCATCTTGTTTTTGGTGTGGTAGTCTAGTCATCATCATCCTTCTCTTGTTGTGTTAGTTTGCAACTGCACTCAATCCTTACGTATGCAAAGGAAATTTTTGGTTGGAGACAACATCAAAAAAATCAAAACAAACCAATTATGAGGATAGCAATGCCAATATTGTTGATCTCCCTTGAGGATTAGTCAACCGTAAATATTTACGGATAAAATTTTAAAATCTTTAATTTGAGTTATAGATGCCTTCACTATAGCTCGAAACTTTCTCCTGGATTCATACATAAAAAATAAACCAAAACATATCAGAAATGGAGTGCAAGATCCCATGAAAGTTCTTAAGGCAAACTAACTAGCAACATGCAGAGAAATAACCTCCCATTCTTTGGTAGCATAAACATACAAAACCAAGCATAAATTGAAATAAGGAAAATGATGACACCATTGATCACATTATGTTACTATTTCACATGGAAAAATATAACTAAGAAAAAAAAAGTAGATCTCCTACTTGCTAAATCAAATGGTAACTAAAGCCTCAAATAGAACCATATCTCAATATTTGAGGAGCATAACTGTTCACGGTAATTAGATGGAATCACGTTATTAACGAATTGGAAAGATGTAGAAGAATTTATTCTCCCATAGAAAAGGATAAAGAAATTAAAAACACATCATTGCATATGTGACTAGACATAGAGCCAAACATAACACTGCCAAGTCTAAAAAATGTGAAGGGTCAAAGAAAGGGTAAGATAGTGAAGTTTGTGTATACGCTCCTAACAAGGTACTTGTGTAAAATACAAACACCCATCCACCCTCAAAAACACATTTATTTTTCCTCAGAGAACGAAGATCATGGAGAGTCCTCCTGAACATAGCTTAGTATTTTAAACTTAAAGAGCAGAAACTTGATTCTTTGAAAATTGAGAATGAACCTAAAGAAATGGAAGGAACAACTAATTTCTATCATGTAAACACCAAGAATTGTTTAATCACATCTTTAATGGTAATATTTCATGAGAAATACTCGAACGCAGATAAAGCAAATTTTGCTGCACATATATACAGGCATATTGATTTGTCTGAGAATTTTGGAGATTAAATGGATAAATTAGTGCAACTTTTTGAGCTTTAGAGAATCATTTCAATAAAATTCCTCAACGCTGACTGAAGTTGGGTAACTGTTCACTGAAAATTTAAAAAACATTGTTCAGATATAATTATGACTCAAGCCAGTACATTGAAGTTCAGTTTAGCATATTCACAAACACTGAATGAGCAAAACTCAAAAAAAACCATTCATCCATTTGTACACAAACATGTCAAACAAGTAAGAGGTTAACACACTCCCTGGACTTAACTGCTTTCAAGTCCAAAGCTTTCTAGTTCAAATTTCCTAAAATTCAGTGCATTAATTTAACTATTTGAGTGTTTAACACTTTATAAGAACAAACGCATCAATACCCAAAAACAGAGTTTCCTCCTTTGATTATTACCTACTGCAATTAATCAACTACATAATTCAAGCAATTCAACACAAGTCAAAAGAACCCATTTGGTTTTTCTACTGGGTTTCTCAAACCAGAACATAATCAGTTAGAAATACGAAGATATTAATCAAATGGACAAAAACCCAATATGGTACCTGGTAAAGGTGATAGAATTGGGATGAGAGAGAGATTGCTTTTGAAGCGCACCAAACCCCTTAATCTGGGACTGGACAAGAGTTGACGAACCCAACGAAGCTGTTGCCACTCTCTCTCTCTCTCTCTCTCTCTCTCAATTATGAGAAAAAAGTTTGGTGACTTTGATTTCTTTCTCTACCGCTGACCAATCTTTGGCAAAAAAAAGAAAAGACTGATAAAAATTCTGAAGGAAAATAGAGAACAAATTAAGAGGTTGACACGTGTCAGGTTGTGGGGATGTTTTGCTTATCTGCAATGGTTGGCCTCTATGTATTCATAGGGATGTGCAAAAACATACACCATCTTGTTTTTGGTGTGGTAGTCTAGTCATCATCATCCTTCTCTTGTTATGTTAGTTTGTAACTGCACTCAATCCTTACGTATGCAAAGGAAATTTTTGGTTGGAGACAACATCAAAAAAATCAAAACAAACCAATTATGAGGATAGCAATGCCAATATTGTTGATCTCCCTTGAGGATTAGTCAACCGTAAATATTTACGGATAAAATTTTAAAATCTTTAATTTGAGTTATTCTAATGAGTAACTAGAGATTTGTTACTGTTAATTTAAAAGTTCTAACTTTGCGTTGGCATTAAAATTTTTTTTTTTTTTTTTTTTTGGATAAAAATTTGAAAGTCTTTTTTACCTGTTCAATGGGGCTCTCTACAAAATTCTTTTGAGGCAACCAGTAAAATACTAATTAAAATTAGGCTGTAGGAATTTTCCAACATGTTAACTCAAAATTAATGTGTTAAGATTGTTTATTTTTTGACATAACACAACAACACAAAAAATAAATTGGTCATATTAAGTATTTGAATCCGCATAAGATGGCATTGTCAAAGATAATATATTTAAAGGGGAACTACTTGTAGGTAGGAGAAGAAAAAAAAATTACAAACACATAGGGATGTAAATGTATTGGTGCAAATGAAAGGCTACCCCTACATGTATTAGTAATTTTTTTCTTTCTCCCACCCACCTACACGTAGTTCTCCTTATTATTAATGAAAGATTAGTTACATATAGCAATGTTATTTTTAGCAAAAAGTGCTTGAAAATGTTTAAATTTTTTATGTAATCTCATTCAGTTGAATAACAAACAAGTAAAATAAGATTTTATGATTAATATGTATATATATTTTTTCAATTTGGAATAAGTAGGATCTTTTAATATGCAAGTCAATTTAATAAATAGATAAATAATAGTGTCTTATTTTTGAAATTGAAGAAATATAATTAAGTTAAAATTAAATATTTTTTTTGAATAATTTTATCTGGTACAAATTACTTTTATGAAATTAAAATTTTAAAAATTAAAATTAAAATTAAAAAACATGACAAGTTAATACAGTACAAATTAAATATAAACCTCAAAATGACACGATACTATAATACAAAAATATAAACATGATTCCAAACTCCAATTACCAATCCAATGAATCTGAAAAGCCTTTTTCTAGGGCAAGTGAAGTACAGGCTACTTTATTTTTCTCCCAATAAGCCCACCCCTTTCAACAATTCCCTTGTCACTGCTCTAGCCCTGGAATGGCAGCACTACACAAACTCCATTGGAGTCCCCAAAACAAGAATCATCCATCATATTTTTTGGCAATCCCCTATTACCTCAAACTTCAAGCTCAATACTGAAGGGGTAGCCAAGGGCAATCCTGGCCTCGCTTCTACTGGTGGATTAATTGGAGATAAAAGGGGCAACTGGATCACTGGTTTTTGCTGAAATAGAGGCGTGGCCTCAAGCTTAGAAGATGAACTTCAGGCTTTAATAGATGGTCTTAATTTAGCTCTTGATAAAGGATGTTGTAGCATTGAAGTTGAAGTTGATGCACTAAATGTTATTTAGCTTTATCATGGATACAAACAATTGCATGCATCATTTGAGCAATCTAATTTGTGACTGCAAGTTCTTGATGAGTCAGTTGGGAGTTGGAACAATTAACTACGTGTACTGTGAGGCGAATGGTTGTGCGGATGTTTTAGCAAATCAAACATCTCATGTAATTGATAATTTGCATATTTTTTAGTCCACTTTTATTTGTATTGCAAATGAATGGTATGATGATGCACGAGAGATTATTTACCTAGAATTATGTACTTTTAGCTTTAATTAATAAAGTTTCAGTTTACCAAAAAAACAAAAAAAGTACAGGCTACATTATTGTTCTGAGTAAACAGGATGTCATATGCGTGTGTGCATATCTCAGTAAAAGCTTGAATGATTTCTGTTCTCTCTCTCTCTTCAGAACATTGGCATTAAAGCCGTTCACAACCAACAAAGCTCATCTTCTTATATATGTTTCTTCATGGAAGCACTTTGGGCCCCCTCGTTTGCTTTCAATTCCATCTATTACTTTGAGCCAAGCAAATGCAATGCAACTATACATGTTTGTATGGGGATTAAATATTTTGACAAATCCGTACTCCTTTCTTTCAAATTCTTACCTGTCCGATCGACCTGCGAGCACAATGGCGGTGAGCTATCCGGCGGTGTGTGGCCGGAATACCCTTCCGACGATCAAGTTAGACACACATAGGGATAGAGAGAGAGAGAGAGAGAGGATTAAGTGTTTTGTGTAAATCTCACCAAATGTTCATCTCCTCAGTATGGGGGGCGCAGACTCGCTTATATACCTTCTGCGCCCCTAAATCTACTCCCATTAGTCTCTCGACACATGGTGCTGCTATCCCATCTGTCAGCACAAATCTAGCTGAACATCACCTAACCAAGCTTCCAGCCCACACTACTGGGAGCTCGGCAGCCGGGCTGCATCATCTCGGCTGCTAAAGGCCGTGCTGTGTTGCTAGCCAGAGCGCTCCGCTCGCCAAGCTCAATGACGACCGAGCTCGGCTGGATTCCGGCATAGCTGAGCTCGGGACAGCTCATGCTGGTAAGCCGTCGGCCTTCCTGTCGAGCTAACCCACGAATCGTGGAACCCAGTGAGGCAGCGGACATCTCGGCCGAATCATCACTCGACCGGTCTCTGCACCCTGAAGCCAAGTAGGTTGGTTTAACCATGCCTTGCCTTAACCGAGCAAAACCTTTCTGGGCAGACCCATGCTACCACGACCCAATTGTGTTCGGCCCAAATCTGCCTGGCCATTACCACGGCCCAATCCAGGTCATAAATCTCCCTCTCAATTGCCCCTTAATTCCGTTTGCGCA